GAAGTTTTGTAATATTTTCGTCAATAACCTTATCTGAAATTGACTAATTAAACAATCACCTTTGAAATTATTTGATAGTCACCATGAAAACGCAATAAAAATTTTAGTTTTTGTTTTTTATGTGATTAATTTCAAAGAAGTATAATAAAACATATCGTTAATTACACGCCCGGAAATGCTTTTAGCGTGCTTTGCCACCCGCACACCGCCTGATCACTCCTAATAAAATATACTATTGTTTATTACTTTTTTTGCGGATTCACAATATGTACCTACCTACTCGTATACCTAGAGACACTTACAATTTTCTAGTCACAACTCGGGTCACACAGTAGACAAGTAGTATTTGCACGGCTTTTAGGGCTGGGGTTAATATTGATTAGGCGGGTCATTCTTCTAAACGGAGACAAATTGACAAGGATCTTCAATAATAATTAAAAATTGTTTTGTTTTGAAAAAACGACGAATTGCGGCGAAAGGACTCATTTTAGATATCATGTGTAATACATAAAGTCACACTAAAATTAACCAAAGAATCTAAATATGTGATAATATACAGAGGGTTCTATAAAAAAACTTTGATATAAATCACCCCGTATAACAATTGCAATTTCGTTGAAAATATTTTTAGGTTGTAGCCTTAAGGGTCCTTCAACATTCCCCCACAATGAATTTTAAGTATGCGTGTTAATAAACCCACAGTCTTCCACCCACACACTAATGGCCCACCCTGTATGTCATACTGAACTGGCTAAGAATTGGATAATTTTTGTATCGATTTATGTTGAAAAAACTGAATACTCTTCCCATGGAGTTGACGATCTTACCCATGGAATTGAAAATATTAACAAAAACTTCGAAAAATTGACATAAATCCATTCTGTTATATTACCTAAAAAATAGCAACAATCTCATTAGAGTTTCGTTTTGATCATCTTAATATTAAATATTAGTATCTTCCTAAAATAAATGAAGATTCCATGCAGTTGACCAACATAAAAATGATTCAGAAAATACTATAATGCTCTTTCAAAAACTTAAAATCAAAAACGATAGAATTGTCTGGAAGTCTTACAATATGTGTTAGGAAATATGTTTTTACCTTAGAAATATCACAAATTTTTCGATTATTTGATCCGAAAGAACAGCTTTGGATCATCTTTGAATCGATTCTTCATAATACCTGAGTATTTCTTGATAATACAATTGAAAACCACCTTAGATAGATCTTTTTCTTGAAGCAAAATGAAAATGTTAGAGGATACTCGTCTCATGAAGGTATTTATGAAATAACCTTCACGAGACGAAATAAATCTATTCAAAATTATGTTCAATTTATATATATTCAAAAATTCAAAAATACCTATGCTTCTTGAATATATATTATAAGCGTTGTGAGAAATAAATATATTCAGGAAAGAACTGTTAAAACCGAGCTATACGAGAAAACACAATATGTTCGCACTCGGTGTTTTGCATTGAATTCGCTACACAAGACTTTAAAAAGAATAATTTTTTATTAATTGTTTACGTTGAGTTAAATTCTGAAACAGAAGTCATGAATGATATTTGAGAATCCTTTCGAAATTGGTTGAGGATTTTGATAAAGCGAACGATCTATGTTTCTTATGTAATCAAGCACCAGTTTAGAGGGGCATTGCCGTGCGTTATTGGTTTTATTGACGAATTCATATTAATGATCAATTGCAACAACTGTTAGTGTATGAAGCCGTTTGGAACCTTTATAATTCTATGGAGTCAATAGACAATACCGGGAATGTAACACGAGCGATTGCGAACAGATCGTTCAGTTCCGCGCAAGTTCGGTTTTAGCCGACCTCGATTCTGGAATATATTTATTACACAGAATTTTTAATAGGTATATTATAAATTGAATACGGTTTTCAATATATATTCCGTGTTAATTTCAAAATATATAAATAGTATATTGAAAGACAAGTGTTACAATGCGTCGCCACTCGTGCCACAAGATAGTCGTATTACAATAAAGCATTGTGACACGCGTTTTTCATACTATTTTTTCTATTTCGGTGCTTTAATTTAATTAAAGAAATCTATCAGAAACTATAGGGAACATTAGAACTAACATGTTTTATGTTGGGAACACTTTTTATGCCGTTAAGTTTTAGGTTGGCAGCGTAGTAAGACTGACATTTTGAAGTTCAAACATGGAAGTACCCAACGAAGTACCTACTTGTACTAACTAGTAACTGCCAACTTAAGAGATGAATTCCCAAAAAAAACGACTATAATCACTGTCTTTGTACAACTGTTTTCGGCCGAAAACAGTTGTACAAAATCATCATTGTGACACCGAAATAGAAAATAGTATATTGAAAGACAAGTGTTACAATGCGACCTATTGTAATACGACTATCTTGTGGCACGAGTGGCGACGCGAAGCGTAGCCACGAGTGTCCGCAAGATAGGAGTATTACAATAAAGCATTGTAACACGCGTTTTTCATACTATTTTTTCTATTTCGGTGCTTTAATTTAATTAAAAAAATCATTATCAGAAACTATAGGGAACATTAGAACTAACATGTTTTATGTTGGGAACACTTTTTATGCCGTTAAGTTTTAGGTTGGCAGCGTAGTAAGACTGACATTTTGAAGTTCAAACATGGAAGTACCCAACGAAGTACCTACTTGTACTAACTAGTAACTTAAGAGATGAGTTACCAAAAAAACGACTATAATCACTGTCTTTGTACAACTGTTTTCGGCCGAAAACAGTTGTACAAAATCATCATTGTGACACCGAAATAGAAAAAATATTTTGTGTATCTATAAAACACTTTTGAATATATACCTACAGGGTGTTTTTTGGGAGCTTTAGTTAAAAGTTTCTGGGAAAGTAAAATATGTAGGTTTTTGAAAATTTGTACTTAGGAGTTACTCTGAAGGCCGAATCGATTTAAAATATTTTCAAAATGGCCGCACTTCCGGAAACATCGGAAGTAGATAGTAACTTCGTTATTTTAAATGGCAACCCCCATTTTTTATTGCATTTTTGGATTCTACGTGAAATTTCACTTCTTTTGATACCCATATGTCGATATTTACCATTTATGGATTTTAAGTTATTGTGACTTTAAGAAAAAAATTGGCGGATGCAGATGGTACCTTGATAATTGATTACTTGAAAACGGTTGTAGTCATGGCAACCTATTTTTATCAGTGCATAGAGAATGAATAGGGCTTTCTTTTAGTGCACTTAAAAAAAAGTTAAGTTGCGTACGACCGCCCCTATGGATATCCAAATTTATGAAACTTCAAAGACTAAAAACTCAGTTTTTTTAAATGGAATGACCATGTTCTTACTATTCCATGAGATAGAGAATCGAAATTGGCATATTTTGACAATACATGTTCCTATAGCTATCTTTAACAGTTTCTGACTTATTCCCATTTTATTGAATTGACACTATTTTTTTCGGATTTTCTTTTTAGTAGTCGGCCATGATTCTATAACAATTGAATTTTAAACAATTCTAGTGACACTAATCCATCACCCACTGTTATAGGTTAACATAAGTTTTTCAAAAATCGAAAAATGACTCGCAGTGGTTTCACCTTTTTTTTGGAATTTAATTGTTATTTATGGTGAAATGGGCAGAATCGCGGCGCGTGCTTTCCGTACATTCATTCGAAAACTGGAACGAAATTGTATGAATTTTGGAAATTTTGTACCCCTAATGCACTACAAACGGTTGAAGCACAAGTGATACAAAGCTCTACAAGAGAATATTTAAGAAAATGAATTGAATTGCAAATGCAAGATTAACAAATTTTTCAAAAATTTTCCGTCCTATATCCTTAATAAATGAGTTATTTATTAATGAATTATTTAGACTAGAACTAGAATCAATGGTATTAAAGAATCCATTCCTTGATTTGTTTAAAATTCGATTGTTATAAAATCATGGCTAAGTACTAAAAAGAAAATGCGAAAAAAAATGGCATCAATTCCGAGATCAATCCAATGAAATGGGAATAAATCAGAAACTGTTAAAGATAGCTATAGGAACATGTAATATCAAAATATGCCAATTTCGATTCTCTATCTCATGCAATATTAAGAACATGGTCATTCCATTTAAATAAACTGAGTTTATAGACTTTGAAGTTTCTTCAATTTAGATCTCCATAGGTGCTGTTGTACGCAACTTAACTTTTTTTTAAGTACACTAAAAGAAAGCCCTATTCATTCTTTATGCACTGATAAAAATGGGTTGCCATGACTATAATCAATTATCAAGGTACCATCTGCATCCGCCATTTTTTTTCTTAAAGTCAAAATAAGTTAAAAATCATAAATGGCAGGAATCGACATATGGGTATCAAAAGAACTGAAATTTCACGTAGAATCCAAAAATGCAATAAAAAATAGGGGTTGCCATTTAAAATAACGGAATTACTATCTACTTCCGGTGTTTCCGGAAGTGCGGCCATTTTGAAAATATTTTACATCGATTCGGCCTTCAGAGTAACTCCTAAGTACAAATTTTCAAAAACCTACGTATTTTACTTTCCCATCAGAAACGTTTAACTAAAGCTCCCAAAAAAACACCCTGTATAAATGACCATTTTTAAAATAAATTATGCCACAAACGGCACTTCATGCATTGGACATTGTGAATGTGAACACCACTAATGGTGGCAAACTAAAATTTTAACTTTGAACATCTACCTACGTACAATGTTGAACTTGAGAGCAGTGATGCCGAAATACAATTAAGATTAGACCTTCGCCAGAGTAATTTTAATCAAGTTTGCCTATTTAATTTTGTAGTCAGTTTAATAATTACTCAAATAATTAATTGCGTATTTTTTAGTCGATCGTAGGTTAAATAAAGGGTACAGGGTATTCATCCTAATATTGTCGATCATTCCTTCGGTAACAGAAGAAGGTTGCACTTTCTACCTCCATATACAGTTCGCCTTACTACAGCAACTCCTTAAATAAATACCAAGTGATAAATTAAATACTTTATTGAGTACATATATCTTGTTGTATACCTACCCAATCAACAGCGTAAATTGTATAAAACGAACCAAATTGGTTAATAAATAAATATTGCACACAATCATCACAATAATATAATACAGGGCATAATGTATTTCACATAACATTCATTGAAACGGTTTTTTATCACTTTCCCAAAAATAATCGGATATATTCTGAGGATACACATTAGAATAGCTTTTGTGTTTCCCCAAAGTCTCATTCATAATTGTCCTAATCGTCCGTTTGGGGCGCGTTTCTAATATAGGCGATTTTATTTTCGATCCGGAATAAACATCGGAATAGCACAAACGTTTCTTCTTTTTATTCGACCACTTACATATAATGAGGATCGTTAAAAATACTAATAAGGAAACGGCAACGAGAGCAGCACTAGCTATAATTGCCGATTTCACTCCGCTCGGTAATCGCATAAAACTGTTCTCATCTTCGTAACTATTGTTTTCGATTATTTCTACATTTAACTTATGATTTCCCGCTTCTGAAATGGTATTTTCAACATTTTCCACCACGTGCACGTCGTTACGCAAAACTTCATCGACGCTTGCCTTACTTTCACTTAGAATTTCCTTCCTTTCTAACGACTTACTGCTATTAACCGTATAGAGAATGGGATAAAGTGTTTTCCACACCTGTACTGGAGCCGTTTGATTTTGATACGAAAGCTTCTCCCTAGCTATCTTGTAAGTTGGAAAGCTCGTCACAGCGTAACCAGGTTTGCTGTTGTCGTCAGAACTACCCGTTCCGCGATCGAGGAGCTCATTAGAACCGTGCAACGTCTTTGATTTGCGCCCTCCGTGTTCGCTTATTATTCCTACATAAGGCTCACTGGGAGGTTCCGGTTCTCTGGTTTGATTATGAAAAATATCGGCCAAATGAACTTGGCTCGATCCTCTTTCACGTTGTGCCACCAACTCCTCCACTGTCATGTTTCTGAGCAGCAGAATACGCGACAAATTCTGTTTACTTCTGTCGTCTTTTAAAACTTCCATTATTTCTTCACGCGCACTTGTCGGTCTGAGTTTTTCGAATTCCGTCGACGTTCTAATGTCGTCCATATCGATTTTCATTCGATAGGGTGCGTCCGTTGATGTGTTGCGATTTTGGACCAGCTGTGAAAAGCCGAAGAGCTCTTGTAAATCGATGGTAAAAGCTTGCAAAGGAATTTGTGTCGTTACATTTTGGTGATTTTGTAATTTCGTTCCCAACGAACCATATTTGGTTCTGCGATCGCTTAACTTTCCTCTGGTATTGTTCTTCGTTACTGCAGATACTGTTACAGGTCCGCTGGTGGACGTCATCCTAACGGTACTGTGTTTGTAGTGGAAAGGTATAATCTTGGCAAACGTTGGCACAAACAACTTCCTCTCTGTCGTCTGTTCAATTTCCGAAATCCTGGGATTCTGGCCCCTAATTTTTGGTTTATAGCGCGCCTCCACTGCGAGACTGGACGAATCTAAATTCGCGATGGTACTGCTGAACGTCACAGTGTCTGTACTTGACTCAGTTTTTTCTGTAAGTGCATTAATTGCGTGGTGTTTTCCATTTAGCAAATCCGAAAGTGACAAGTTTTTCCTCTGCAGTAACTCGCTCAAATTCAAAGAACCCCCCGATTGCTTGAGTATGTTCTTTAAATTGGACACGGTTGTATTTTCCATCGTTTCCGATTTCTTCTTCAATCTAGATTTAGCTTCAGCTTCTTCTAAGGCGGTGAAGGGGTCCCTTACCTTTTCATAGAGGGTGGAAATATCTTCCTGTTGCTCCAATTCGGATAAGTATGTGGGAACGACTCTGCGTCTACTGTGAGGCAGTTTGACGGATTCGTCCTCCATTTCCATCCACTTTTCTTCTACATCGTCCAACGTATGCGATGGCAATTGACGTTGTGGTAGGTTTTCGACGGATGGCCGTCGCTTTCTTTTCCGTATCCTCCTACGCCGGGGTGGGCTGTCTAAATACTCGTTTACTGCTATTGGCTTCTCTTCTTTCGGGGTCCATTCGTTCGAACTTGGCAGATGTACCGTACGCCAGCCCTAAAAATATACACAAATTATAACAATTATGTATAAAAAATATACAGGGTGTTCCAACTAAAATTTTCATCTCTTAGTAAACCAATTAACAAGCAATTTCTGAAAATTTTTCAATCGTATACGAGGTGTGTCAAATATGGATTTTGCTAAAGATTAAAATACCTTTCATTACTCAATTTAATTAGAATCAGTCATAAAATAGTTATTTATGTATTAAGGGCATAATAGTGATGTTTATATTCTCGAGGGCGACAAGTTAAAACGCTCGAGGGCCTATGTCTACTGTCTGAAACGTATACAGGGGGATCAATAATACGAAAATTACTGCAGGGAGTTTATTTATTAAAGTACATTTAGCAAGCCTTATATCGTTATACTTAAAGAGAAAAATTTGTCCTTCTTAAAAATGTCAAAGCCAACTATGATTACCATTTAAAAAAATTATAACTCAAAAAATGTAAGATCTAAAATCTCAACAGTTAAAGGAAAAATTTCTAAATCTGTTTTTCGCTCATATCTAGTGAACTGTGGATTTAAAAAAAAACAAAAGCATATCTTGAATCAGTGGCGTACGTAGAAATGTATTCTGGGGGGGGATTAAACAAGTTCGTGGCACATACAGTCACCCAGTGCGTACTAGAAGGGGGGGGGGGTAAGAAATAGAAATTGGGTTGCAGGTTGCTGATGCTGGTAGTCATTTATCTATTTATTATTGTACAGGCGAAAAAGATTAGATTAGAACGGTATTTTATTTCTTACTGCTGACAGGCCCCTTTATTGCTTTTGCTTTAATTAGTCAACGAAAACTTTGAATAATAGGTATATTTATGGGCAAAAAACCAATTTCGACAAAAAATTCAAAGGGCTGTAACTTTTGATCTAGTAGCCCGATCTTGGAACTGTGTGGAATTATGGATTCTACAGGCCACATTCTATAAGAAAATATTTTTTTCCGGTCGATCTGAGAAAATTTTTGTTTTCGGGGCTCAAAAAAAGGCAGTTATTACCTTCCTTTTTTACCAAAAATCGACTGCACCAAAATTTCTCGGGAAAAAACTATTTCTGATTAATTTGGGTGCGTAGAATCCAAAACAATTCGTACTTTTTCGATTAGACGTCTCAATCAAAATTTATGGGCAAAAAAAATTCCTGTTTTTAAAATTTAAAATTCTTATTTTCGTCATTTCGTGAAAGGCAGGACGCAGGTATCTCACCTAAGTAGCAGTACTAAGTACCTGATACCTATTTAGTTATTTTGGGCATCAATGTAGCGAATTGCCGATCGATGCCGAATAGCCAAATCGTTGACTGCCAACACTGATCACTCACTGAATAGTGAATACTGAATACTACAGAATATTTAGATTTTAGTGACTTTAGACTTTAACCAAAACCAAAATTGCTCTCTATATATGTATACCTCAATATATTATTGCCTTTATTTTAAAGTGGGCGGAGCGGATAGCGGAGTATTACCTAAATACCTAATAGCTATGATGATAACTCAATTCTTCTGGGGGGGGGGATATATCCCCTTCATCCCCCCGTAAATACGCCACTGTCTTGAATAAGCTCTTAAAACTACAACTGTTTCCTCATTTAACCGAATCTCTATGACTTACGGTTTCCGAGATCCTAATGCTTAAAATGAAAAAAACTCACCCTGTATATTGATATATTTTCCGTCTATATTCGATATCTAGAGGATTGGTTATTGGGCAAACTGCAAAGATACCAGTTTTTAGCTTTGCCCTACAATTAACGGGTAAGTTCTCTTTCTAGTTATACTCTTTGTGGATTATTTCGAAGATGCTCTCTCATGTAATGTCGTGCTTTCTTTCAGTGGCGGAACAACGTAGCCACGGGCCTGTGTGCGAAATTTTTTGCTGGGCCCCCATTATGATACGAAGTATTGATAACAATATTAATTTAGGTATGAATTTTGCCTACAAAAAAAACCAATTGATAAGTATTTATGTTCCTGAACCTGAACATAGAAAAATACGAGGAAAAATATTAGAGTCAGAGCGCGGATTAAGCGTTTACGCTTATCATTTCCCCACGATTTAGAAAATTGAATCTTATTTTCAGTTAAACTTTTACTATTCAGATAGTCATTCGTTCGGTTATAGTGTTATCTCATGATTCATGACAATTTATAGCTAATTTTTTTGTGCCCTTGAAGTTATACTGCGTATTTTAGTACAAAACAATTAAATTTAGTACATCTTCATTGACATTTTCAGTACAATTAAAAAAATTACTCAATCGCTGGCTGTAGTCTGCAGTTGGTTTCACACCGTGCTAAAGGTATGCTGCAAAAGGTTCCATTTACCGTGTTCCGTGTTTCCGTGAACAGTGTATTATTTCCGAGTATGACAATCCCGGGTCCCGGGCCCCTTTTTAGCCCGGGCCCTTGTACTTCGCACACATTGAACACCGGTAGTTCCGCCACTGCTTTCTTTACTGCGTTATGTTTCATGCTATGGATAACATAGGTCTGTTTTAATTTTACATGAATTCTTTAATCATTTACTTTACCTATACATGGTCTAGCACCTAAGATCCCTCGGATCATAATCCTTTACCATAAAAGATACCGAAAAAAGTCTTAATGCAAAATTGTACACAATTACCCCCGTCATGTTTCTAAAATATTTTTGATCACCAGGGGCGTGCTGTATTCCAGTCGCGTATCAAACTTGCATTTTTTTTAAATTGAACACCCCTCATTTTATTACTGATTTGGAGAGCACTTGAAAAGTACTTATTTTTTTATGTAACATGTTATATATAATGATACACTGCCGACACTTAATAGTGAGAATTGAACATCTTTTGTTTTATCATGGCACACTTGGTTTCGGAAAAGAACGTTTTTTTACAGATTGGTTTTTCCTGAAATTTTCTTATGGACTGTGTGGTTTTGTTTATATCAGTGGAAAATTTGTAGTTTTGGCTACCCAGAGGTATAATTTGTTTAGGGAGGTGTCATTTGAAATTTTAAAAAAAATATGACATTTAGCGAAGGTCAAGTATACCTAAAAAAATTATGTGATTGTGGAAAAGGTCTTAACTTGCGCCTCATTTCAAAAATTAACCGCCTTCGCGATTTAGTATCTCTCAAAAAAGTCCGAAAAACTGTCAAATTTTGTAGAAAAAGGGTTATAACAGCGAAACCGTTAAAGTTAGGGGTATAACACGTTACATAAAAGAATAAGTACTTTACAAATCAGTGATAAAATATGGGGTGTTCAATTTAAAAAAAATGCAAGTTTGATACGCCCCTGTTGATCAAAAATATTTTACAAACATGCCGGTGGTAATTGTGTACAATTTTCCTCTATGACTTATCTGTATTTTTTATGGTAAAGGAGTTATGATCCGAGCGAGGATCCGAGGGATCTTAGGTGATACACCCTGTATACAGGGTGCCCATTATGTATGGAATATCGACAATATCGTATATATCTCGGTAAATATCGAATGTATACAAAATTTTTCTATATGAAGTTGTTTAACATTTTATTTCCCATAATAAGGCAGCATTCAGTTGTTTTTATTTCAGAAAACAAATGACTAACGAAAAACAATTGAAATTTTTTAAATGGCAATGTTTTTTTTATTAGCCTAATAAAAAAAACATTGCCATTTAAATCTCTATCAAATGAGCCTCATTTGATAGAGATTTTTTTCTCTTTTCGATGATACAACATGTTAGTACTCTTAATGCAAGAAAATTTTTCAATAAAACTTATTACAATCGCATCAGTAACATTAATCTAGATATCCTACATCAAAATAAAACAAATTAACATGTACGTTTGTTACCATTTTATTGCTAATTTCATTTTGTCTTCAAGGTTTAATAAGAAATGTACACGTTCATTTGTTTTATTTTGACGTAGGATATCTAGATTAATGTTATTGATATGATTAGGTATAATAAGTTATATATCCAATACATACCTAATGCTAATTGGATTTATTGCCGAAATTTTGATAAAATAATGAGAAATACAACTGAAACTCAACTAACTCGCATATCATTAGATGAGAACAAAATCTACTTTTGATTTTTGTCATCTCGGGTGTCATTATAAACCCTGTAAGTTAACGTGGGGAGCAACGATCTTCAAAAAAATCTTTTTCCCATGTTAAATGCCCATGTTCGGTTTTGAAATATTCACCTGGTATAAACATTAGATTTTATAAAATACTTTAGAATTTCATAATTTTAATATGTTATATGTCATACAGAATAGAGAAAGTCGTTACCGAACGATAACCGCTGGTGGTGGGGGGGGGGGGGGGGTTGAGGGAGCAAAGACAGTATTTTACCCCCCTCCCCCCTCCGCTTCCCATCTTTCAGCTGTATTTTTTAATCAATATATCAATGTATTATTATTACTTTTTGCCTGGCAAGACCGTGAATCACTATTTTTAAATCGTTTCTATCAAAAAATATTAGCAGTTAGTTCAAAGTAGACGTATTTTGTGTGTTTATGGTTAGTAAATTTTAAATGATTGTTACCCCCTCCCCCAAAAAATGCCCCAACGATGTTTTGTAGTGCTCAAAAAGTGAAAAAAGAAATTTTTTTAATTTTTTGTATCGGTTTCTAGTATTTATTAATTACCTTGTCGTTTTTGTATCTTTTCAAAAGGCATCAGAAAAATTTGCTGTGACTAGCACAAATAGGTACCACCCGCACATCTGCGCATGCGCGTTCTACGCAAAAGCTTTTTACTAATGTTGGGGTGGTAAAACATTCGGTTTTCCCTCGGGTTTTCCTAGCATATCTAAGTAATAGGAATTTTCTTGTTCTCTTTAAAGAATTATACTAACTCTTTAATTGCGCATCTTTTCGCTAATTTGACCATCATCGTATCCTATGCCTCTATGGCTGCGGAGATCTCCATGACAGACATCCTTACTTTGGACGCAGTGTATATCAATATTCACAATATTAGTAAAATATATTCTGTGGTTGAATGGTATTCTTACAAAGCATAGGTAACTAACTCCAGGTTTAGTAATTAAAGCCTAGTTGGTTGACCAATAAAATAACATTATCTAAAAACGTGAATTTCGAAAAAAATGAACTAGTCTTTTTAATTAATCTTTTTTTTACTACGAAATATAGGGAGTACACTTGCAGTAAAAAATTCATTACGACACTTGTTTACTTTCTGGCATTCTTTTGTTTTCTGTTATCACGGCCTACTCCTGTGTATAAACATGTAGGTACTTAATTCATTAATGGGTAGGTACTTTTGTAAGAAGTATTGAATAACCTATACACTACGGGACTTAGACACAGGAAATCCCTTATAAAAATTAAAGAGACACAAAAGACTATCGAATAGAGAAATGAAATAGTGGTAGTTCCATTTGAAAAACTTCACAAAAGGTTGCTAAGATTCAACAAAGTGAGGATTTCTTATGTAGAATTATTCGTAAAAAATTAATAAGGTGGCAACATTGACAAAAAATGTTTCAAAACCTATTCGTGGGCGAAAACCCGAAGTCTTTAGGTGGCCCAGGGGCCCAGATTTCGATGGAATAGACAGGCAGACAGACGACAGAAAATCGAGCACATAAGCGTTACCTCAGCATCGTTGTGTTACGCGAAAAATCAAAAAGTGAATGGGTTTCAATGTAGGAGTTAACAAATGACATCGAAACAATTAACAATATACAGGGTGTTTTAATTTGAGTACGAATAACATGGTTATCTTTGTTATTATTATACTTACAGATTCGGTTAAATTGGCAAAGTTGTGTAGTTTTTGATGCTAATGGATAGTGCAATCTTTTGAAAAAAAAATAAATCGTTGCGTAGATCATTGGAAAAAAGTGAAAATCACCATTTTTAAACAGTTCAAATATTTTAGTAACAAAGAGTGCTATTAAAAAAAGTTTCAAATAAAAGTTACAAGATTCGATGGCATAAATTCAATGGACGTAGAAAAAATTTTTTTTAAAGGGCGGTTTCCAAGATAATGATTTTTTGGATTTTTACTCAGTTTGATAGAGTTTTTTTTCTCTTTTTCCATGTATCACAAGTTATTATCCAAATAATTAACATGGATAAAATTACAATTTTCATTTTTTCTTCATAGTTGGCCATAGAAACAAAACTAGCATAAAGGCCTAATTGTCATTTTACAATGGAACATTTGTTTAACAGGAATGCACTGTGTCAACGTAACTGCTGCAGTAGCTAAACTGTGCCCAACGTGCTTTGTTAATAATAGGGCATCTTGAACATTAGCTGTAATTTTAAACTCTGTTATTATATATTTTTTTGTTAATTATTTCTCTGACCGGCCAGACAATTGTAACATTGCCAAATGTCAATTGCTTGCTGTTTCCATGGCCAACTATGAAGAAACAATGAAAATTGTAATTTTACCCATGTTAATTATTTGGATAATAACTTGCTATACTTTGTTTGATAGCTCTCTTTGTTACTAAAATATTTTAACTTTTTAAAAAAGGCGATTTTCACTTTTTTCCTATTGTCTACGCAACGATTTATTTTTTTTCCAAAATATTGCATCAAAAACTACACAACCAATTGAACTGAATCTGTAAGTATAATAATAACAAAGATAGCCACTCAATTTAAGACACCCTGTATAATAGTGTTCTATTAAAAAAATGAGTTATTTATTTACACTGTAACAATGGAACACCCTGTAGGTACATTCAAACATTATTTCTATAGTTGGAATTTGCACAAGTTTTTTTTTATATTTTTTACCAGATGAGCTAAGAAGACACTGTATAATGAATTGCAACTCTTCTTTTGTTAAGATGATATTATCACAAGTGTGCATTTTTGATTTGAAAAAATTGGTTTGGCGACCGTGCGCCCCTTGAAACGATGCGCCCCTAAGCCCGGGCCTAGTGGTAAATCCAGCCCTGCGCAGACGAGCTGCTATTATTTTACTATCTTACGCACTATCCCTTTCTGGACCCTTATCATGCGTGTTATTTTATAGGCGAGCTCTTGGTCTCTACACACACCTGATACGATAAATAAAAAGTGACGCATTGATTAATTGCCATGTTCTCCATTAGTGAAGTGGGTTACGGTAACAATTAAGCAGATGGAGATCCGAGAGGAAAAAACTGGTACACGGTGCTACTTCCGTTCATCTTATTATCGATCAGACGCCTGACTTTGTTTACACTAAAGGTACTTTTTTAATGATGTTGACCTTAATAAATAATTCTCTATTCGTGTAATGGGCTTGATTGACCAAAGAACTTAATTGAAATGTGTATTCCGCGATAAGTACCTACGTGAATGTGACGGAGTAGGTGCAAATAATTGCATGATTAAAACAGAGAATGAATGAGAAACTTTCAGTTTTTAATTTGGCTTTTATTATTATTATTTATTGAATGCGTGTAAAATGAAAGCAGAAGCATCTTTATTATTAAGTAGGTATAGACAAGCAGAATTTTTCGATTTTGCTTTCTTTGCCAGCCTGTCGTTTCAAGGAACAGCCTGAGGACGTATCTGTGGCCATTTTCGTTTGCATCCGTTTGACTAATTCCATTTTTTCACCATCAGAACGATGGGATTTGGACATTTTTCTTAAGCTTTTTCGATTTCGACCAAAATTCGTTTCTTGCTGATTGAGTCGCCTCAATGGTCAGGGGAAAACCATGACACACTCTTCCTCAATTTTTCGGCTACCGTTAACACCTCGTTCGAAAAAGGAGTGATGGACACTTCAGGGTTCGGTACGGTGCCCCAAAGTTGAGACGATTTTTCCCCGGAAAACTGGTTTTGGTAAATTGTATTCTCGAAGTGTGGAGATTTATTCAAAATATGTTTGGTCATAATTTTTTGGAACGGGATTTTCCAAAAACGAGGGTTGATGAGTTGCATTCAAATCATTTTCAAGCCAACCATTTTTTCTTGGATGGGGACCTCTAGCAATACTAACGCCAGATCTAAGTATCTGAATTTGAGGTACCTAATTTCACTCCCTACACCTATTTCCAAAAGAACCGATTTGGCGTAGAAAAAACAACTTACCCCGTGTTCAGATTGATCTATTAATTGTTTTCCGCTTCGATTTTCTTCTTTCCCTTGCGTTTCCTGATCTATTTTCTCTTCGCACCGACAATGCACAAATAACGCACTTAATAGCACAAATAATTTACAAAACTTCATTATTCTAAGGTCGATTTACGAGGATTAACAACGCATAAAACATTGCGTCCTTCTATTCACCTATCGCGAGATCTTATCAAATATTAGTAGGTGATCGAATGTCGCATTACAGCAACAGTAGCAAATGCATGTGGTCGTTGCATTCTTCGAAGTGTACCTTTCACCAGCAAAGTAGAGGTGGAGAAGAAAGATATCGTTCCGATAATATCGTCTTTATCGAGCTTTCTCTTCTTTGATAAAACAGCGTAAAGTCCGCAAAAAATTCAATTTTTCCTTTTACAACAGGCCTTATCGTTTTTTAATGGACACGACCTACTATATAAAAATTATGTGCGGGTTTGTGATTGACATTATTAACACTCAAATCGTTTTGCTTGTTAAGAACTCTTTTATTGTGCAATGTCTAGAAAGTGTTACTTTTTTGTTGTAATTTTCGTCTAGTGATGTTTAACCCACATTGAGACTTAGTTACCAATAATTATTGTTAAACTTTTAGCTACTTACTTCTAATTGTTTTTCTTACTTAGCCACCCAAAATTATCACATCGTTAGTTTGTCATTATGCGAATTTCTAAATGATCGGCGCGCACGCAATATGAATAACTCAAATTTGATTGACCGTGACTTATAAATATTTATAAAATAAAATGGAAAATACTTTCTCCTAGACGGTTATCTTTTGATAGTGTAGAATAACAAATTAGGCATACTTACTTAAGCCAAAATCTATAGGCGATCCTGACCTACAATGTTTTTTCTGAAATATTCTAAATGGACCGACAGATGCAAATTAATGTATAGATTATTGTTAAGATATTTATCAATTGAAACCGACATACCGAAGGCTCACTTTCCCCGATTGAAATTTTATTATAGTTGCATCAAAAACCATGAATTTGTACCCAAATTAAATTTTGATTGTTTAAACAATTCAGTGGCGTATTTACGGGGGGGGGGGGGGAAGGGGATATACCCCCCCCCCCCCCCAGAAGAATTGAGTTATCATCATAGCTATTAGGTATTTAGGTAATACTCCGCTATCCGCTCCACCCACTTTAAAATAAAGGCAATAATATATACTTAAGTATATATAGAGAGCAATTTTGGTTTTGGTCTAAAGTCACTAAAATCTAAATATTCTGTAGTATTCAGTATTCACTATTCAGTGAGTGATCAGTGTTGGCAGTCAACGATTTGGCTATTCGGCATCGATCGGCAATTCGCTACATTGATGCCCAAAATAACAAATAGGTATCAGGTACTTAGTACTGCTACTGAGGTGAGGTACCTGCGTCCTGCCTTTCACGAAATGACGAAAATAAGAATTTTAAATTTTAAAAACAGGAATTTTTTTTGCCCATAACTTTTGATTGAGACGTCTAATCGAAAAAGTACGAATCGTTTTGGATTCTACGCACCTAAATTAATCAGAAAAAGTTTTTTCCCGAGAAATTTTGGTGCAGTCGATTTTTGGAAAAAAAGGAAGGTAATAACTGCCTTTTTTTTGCCCCGAAAAAAAAATTGTCTCAGATCGACCGGAAAAAAATATTTTCTTATAGAATGTGGCCTGTAGAATCCATAATTCCAAACAGTTCCAAGATCGGACTACTAGATCAAAAGTTACAGCCCTTTGAATTTTTTGTCGAAATTGGTTTTTTTGCCCATAAACATACCTATTATTCAAAGTTTTCTCAGAATTAAAAATCATCATACATCATGTTCACAATATACCCTTTATAGGCAAGAGACACAGTGAAGCTGTATACAGGGAGACTAGAGGCGCAAGGAGAAGAAATAGGAGGAGTGCGGAAGAGAACTGAAACAATATAAAAAACCAATAACGTGTTACGGGAGGTAGAAAAAGAAAGGAGTCATGGGACAGAGAGTGTACAGAAGAGAGAAATAGATACAGAGAAATGATGGAGACAGAAAGAAGAACAATAGAGGAGAGGGGAAATACAACAGAAAAAAAGTACAAAACAAAATACAGGGTGAGTTTTTTTTCATTTTAAGCATTAGGATCTCGGAAACAGTAAGACATAGAGATTCGATTAAATGGGGAAAGAGTTGTAGTTTTAAGAGCTTATTCAAGATATGCTTTTGTTGTTTTTTTTAAATCCACAGTTTAGTAGATATGAGCGAAAAACAGATTTAGTGATTTTTCATTTAACTGTTCTATTAGAAATACAGAAATATGCAAAGAAAAGAATTGTAGATTTTTTTCCGCTTAATAAGATACATTTATTAATATTTATTCTTCTTTTATAATTTTCGAGTTATAACGCAAACTTACATTTTTTTAAATGGTAATCATAGTTGGCTGTGACATTTTTAAAAAGTGCATTTTTTTCTGTTTACAATGATATAAGGTACTTACTTTGACAAATAAACATGATACAGAACTGTTTGTATTATTAAGAATAGTAAAAACAGATTTTGCCATGGGAAACATTTTTGTTCTCTTAATTACTGTCTATTATAATATTTAACTTGCAGTTAGTTGTGCGGCGGGGCACCGTTTTGTTGAAACCAGCGTAAATTACGTCGTGTTTCCAAATCTAACCCATCCTACATATCTTGAAATTCATTTGGTAGACAATGAAGATAACATTGGCCTGTCCAATTTTCGTCGTAAATGAAAGGTACCTATCTCACTAGATATTGTTTTCCATGGCCAACTCTGTTTACTTACCTCTCAATAATACGAAAATTACTGCAGGGCGTTTATTTATTGAAGTATTTAGCAAGCCTTATATCGTTATAAAGAGAAAAATTTGTCCTTAAAAATGTCAAAGCCAACTATGACTACCATTTAAAAAATTGAAGTTTGTATTATAACTCAAAAATTGTAAGATCTAAAAATAAATTAGTATGTTCATCATGTTAAGCATTAAAATGTCTAAAACTGTTATTCCTGTCATTTTGTTGTATTTCTAATAACGATTCTACAACAGTTAAATGAGAAATCACTAAATCTGTTTTTCGGTAATATCTAGTGAACTGTAGATTTTTTTAAAAAAACAAAAGCATATCTTAAATAAGCTCTTAAAACGACAACTCTTTCCTCATTTAACCGAATCCGTATATCTTATGGTTTCCGAGATCCCAATGCTTAAAAAAAAACTCACCCTGTATAAAGGACAAAAATGAAGAAACGACAGAAAGAATACGAAGAGCAAATTGACGAAATAAAAACAGAGGCGGATTGTTAGAAGGTGATAAACAGAGGAAAAAAGAAAATAGAGCAAGTGAGAGGGAAATACAATTAGATGAATCGAAACATTTTGTCAATGTATTACACGGAAAGCAGAAGAAAGAGAGAGGCTATGGAAGAGAAGAGGTTGAAGGAGATGAGATAACAATGGAAGAAATCAAGCAGCAATTAAACATACTGCAGAAAGGAAAAGCGGCATTAATTCTGATAATTTTTCTCTTTTAGTAAAAAATTGTTTAAATAATGTATAAATTGTTTAAACAATGAAAATCTAATTTGGGTACAAATTAATCTTTAATTCATAGTTTTTGATGCGAGTAATAAAATTTCAATCGGAAAAGGTAGGGGTGCAAACTTAATTTTAAGTTAGCAACCCCACTTTAAAAATCGGTTTTCCGGCAGAACTTAGCGGGTACAAATTCTAATTTTGTGAGTACATCAGTCCTAAATTATAGGCATATTTTTACTTGATGAGGGCAAAGTGGAGTAACTTTATCGGCCTTCACAATGGGAATTATTTTTTATAATGCCCCTGTGGGTATTATGGGATCGACTTACTTATATCATAAGTAACCCCCAAATAGGTTTGCCATGTACGAGTATATGTACTTGATTTGAAACTTGTTTCGTTAACATCCGAAAACTGGGAATGGAAACGTGTTAACTTTGTTTATTAATTAGGGAGAAAGTATTAATTAAATGTAAAATAAAATGTTTTATGTACCCGCTATCGATACGTAGCATATGTCGGAGAGAATGAGAAAGTAATCATTAGTCTTGGGAAAATGTATATAGACTAGTGAAAATTCTTAAATATCTATTGATTTAATCTCTAGCATCTTTGAGTAGTACCATTGAATAGTAGCCCGAAATATTTCTGAGGTCACGTTAGCCAATAAGATAATGACCAAATGAAACTGATAGATTTCCCACGTACTGCATGGTGAAAGTGGTAAAGAAGGACTGAATATAAATCAGCGACGAAACTGTTGTTCTTTGCCAGATGTTGAATTTTTTAAACAAATAATGCTTTGTTATTATACGGACATCTTAAAACACAAACAAAACATGTGTTAAGTATTTTCTAAAACCTCTATTTAAAGAAAAAGGTGTTTTGTAACAATGCAAAAAACGAATACAAAAATGCAAATTGGTGTCGTTAAAAAATAACTTTAAATTAATAAAAGTTGAAACGAAAAAATCTGAAGAGCCACATTTTTAAAAACGGATGATACCTTTGGCATGTCCAAAATCAAGTGGCAAGTGTCTTCTTGCTCTTGCAATTGTTTAAACATCACCTGTTACCACCAGCAGTCACTCGCCGTTTCACTATATTCTCAATCAATTTTTATTAGACCGCGAAAATGGCAAAACTTTTTACAATTTGTCTTATAACCAAAATTAAAGTACGATTTTTTCTTCACCTCCTTGCAATTCCATAACATTGTTCCTATATTCTCTTCTTCCTCTCCACATATTCCACACTTTGTTTCTACTTTTTCTCTCCTCATTTTGACATCTGAATCTCGCCATTATTTTGTTTTTTTCCTTCCCATAAGTATATTGGCAACCACTCCCTTATTAGATCTTTGTCACTACATATTATACAGCGTTTTTGTTAGGATTGATCTTTACGTGAGATCGGTACTACTTCCTCGTCTGCTCTTTATCTTCAAGCTCTCCAGGTCCCTTTTTGTCAGCTCATTTTCCATCCTTTTCTCCTACTCCTCTCTTCTTTTGGACCCCAGTCCGCCCGTTTCATAATATTTTCCTCTTTGTTCTTCCCACATTCCTTTTGCGTCCATCCTCGCGTCTCGACGCTATTCTTATCTTCTCCATTTTTGTTTCTTCCTCTAATATACAATTTGGTTGTATTCTTTCTAATTCATTCTAGTTCTTCTACTCTCATATCTCTGTTTCGTAATCTGTACATAAGCATCCCTCTCGTTATTGCACCGAACAAGTATTTTCTTGTTCTGAACCCATCGCCCTCCTTTTTCCTTACTTCTCTTATTTGCGCATTAGTCCCATTATTTCTTAGCATTTGGTACCCTAAATATTAAATTTGTCAAACCTCTTCCATCGTTTCTTCCCGCCATTGCATTCTCTCTCTTTTTCTTCCACCCCCATTTCCAAATCAATTATTTCGACTTTTCAACATTTAGCTCCTCGTTTAGCTCTCATTCCTCTCCATTATTTCCATGATTCTCTCTTCATTTGTTCTATACAGGGTGAGTTTTTTTTTTCATTTTAAACATTGGGATCTCGGAAACCATGACATGCGGATTCGGTTAAATGAGGAAAGAGTTGTCGTTTTAAGAGCTTATTTAAGATATGCTTTTGTTTTTTGAAAAAAATCCACAGTTCACTAGATATGAGCGAAAAACAGATTTAGTGATTTTTCATTTAACTGTTGTAGAATCGTTATTATTAGAAATACAACAAAATGACACGAATAAAAGTTTTAGACATTTTAATGCTTTACATGATGAACACTAATTTGTTTTTAGATACAAACTTCAATTTTTTTAAATGGTAGTCATAGTTGGCTTTGACATTTTTAAAAAGGAAAAATTTTTTCCTTCATAACGATATAAGGCTTGCTAAATGTACTTTAATAAATAAACGCCCTGCAGTAATTTTCGAATTATTGAGAGGTAGGTAAGTAAACATAGTTGGCCATGGAAAACAATATCTAGTGCCCTAGTGAAATAGGTACCTTTCATTTACGACGAAAATTGGACAGGCCAATGTTATCTTCATTTTCTACTAAATGAATTTCAAGATATGTAGGATGAGTTAGATTTTGAAAAACGACGTAATTTACGCTGGTTTTAACACAACGGTGCTCCGCCGCACAACTAACTGCAAGTTAAATATTATAATAGACTGAGTAATTAAGAGAAGAAAAATGTTTTCCATGGTAAAATCTGTTTTTACTACCCTTAATAATACAAACAGTTCTGTATCATGTTTATTTGTCAAAGTAAGTACCTTATATCATTGTAAACAGAAAAAAATGCACTTTTTAAATATGTCACAGCCAACTTAGATTACCATTTAAAAAAATGTAAGTTGCGTTATAACTCGAAAATTATAAAAGAAGAATAAATATTAATAAACGTATCTTATTAAGCGGAAAAAAATCTACGCTTTTTGTTCTTTGCGTATTTCTGTATTTCTAATACTAACGATTCTACAACAGTTAATGAAAAATCACTAAATCTGTTTTTCGCTCATATCTAGTAAACTGTGAATTTAAAAAAAAAAACAAAACCATATCTTGAATAAGCTCTTAAAACTACAACTCTTTCTCCATTTAACCGAATCTCTATGTTTTACGGTTTCCGAGATCCTAATGCTTAAAATGAAAAAAAAAACTCACCCTGTATATTCGAAATCTCCATTAAAAAGTGTCGGAATAATGTGTTAATTATAAATTTATTATTTACGATTTCAAAAATCAGACATTTTCGTTTTTTAGCGCATTTTTTAAGAATTAAAAAAATGTGCTATTGTTTGCGTTTTGTCCGTCCTTCCGTCCGTCCGGACCCACTTCTACTTCTAGGGGAATGGTCCTAGAGTCCTGGAATTTTTTGCAGTAGGTAGCTTATACCCTGAAGGTGTGCCAGACGGCCATCAAATTTTGCTGTCTAAAAGGGGGGGCCTCCCCACGAATTATTTCCTGAGATGCTGTTTTAGAAAATAAAACGTGCATAACTTTTACATACGGCAACTAGTTGATCTTAGATTTTGCATATACATGCCTTTAGTGGTGCCAAGTTAAACTTTAGAAAAGGGGGGGGGGGGGCATGTTCAACCCGTCATGGTATTCTACTGAAAGGTCTCATAGAAATAAATCGATTTGTACAAACTATAACTTTCCCGTGCGACTCTTTTTCGAGATCAGTGAGAGACCCGGGGGGGGGGGGCTATTTTGATTTAAAAAATGCGCTTTATCTGCACAAGAGTTCATAACTGTAGGTATCTTCCTTTATCTTTGCCTATTTTTATTTCTTGTATATCCTTTTAGACTCAATTCCGTCGGTTGATGATCCGAACAAATGGACCAATTTCGCTGAAATTTTGCATGTGGATTCCGTATCAGTTCGTGAATTCGCAATCTAGGCCAAAAAATAACGAGGGCCCTTTCGACATGTCATACCCAAGAGCTAGTTTGCTATATTTGTTTAATTTATTGTTGCCCATTTCGCGGCTCCGCAAATGAATGGTATACAGGGTGATTCGCGTAGCTCGTTCGTTAGACGTTTTAAATCTTGCAATTGAAATAGAAACTTGAAATTTGTTTTACCGCAATAATCGACCATTCCATAAACGCCGGAAGCGCGCGCCATCTTGTTTTTTTAATAGAAACATCTTTTTCTCTTTTCTTTATCTTATTCTGAATTGCACGCATTTAAGATTTAATATATCTGCCATAGTTTTTGACATATGTCAATTTTTCTCTAAACATTTTAAGATGCAAGGGTCCATTCAAAAATTCATATTTCTTAAACCGTTCTAAATAGGTGAGTGCTCTTTTTTATAATCGAATCCTTAAAGTCTAAAGAATTTTTTGAGTGCTGTTGCTGCGCAAAAATGTCAAAAAGTTTCTTATCTTAATGGCGCTGAATTCAAAATAAAATAGCGTTTTTATTAAAAAAAAATAGAAAATTGTATGTTTCTATTTATAAAAAACCAAAATTGCGCTACTTTCGGTATTTGCGAAAGCGGTGCCTTCTAAAAATTCAATTTTCTATTTCAATTGCAAGTAGAAAAACTTTTAACACATGGGCTACGTGAATCACCCTGTATATGTACAAATCATTGCACCTTAAAAATTACTATTTTTTAGACTATGGCATCCCTTTACTATAAATTTTAAATATTTTTTCCAATACCTACATTGTTAGCGAATTTTCCTCAAAGTGAAAAATCTCTATTAGCTGCACTTTGACGTCCGTCCGTCTGTCCGTCGCATGTACTTCTTCTAAACCACTGCACCGATTTTGGCGATATAGGTCTCATTTGAAAGGGCTTGGCCCGTGCATACCCACATTTTTTGGTTTTGCGCATGCGCAGTGTCAAAAATTCGGTTTAACGCATGTGTAATGCTAACTTTTTTATTTATGAAGATATTTAAATGAAACTTTATATGCAAACACTACGAATATAAGTTAAATTAACGACATTTTCAAAATGTTGTTTTGCGCATGCGCAATGCCAACTTTCTTATTTATGAAAGCAGTTAAACGAAATATCATATGCAGGCACCTTGACTGAAACTAAAACTAATACTGGTTTCAAAATTACTGTTAACGCATGCTGTATGTTTTATTTATGAAGGTATTCAATGAAATTTCTAATGTAGAGAATGCGCAATGCTATTTACGAAAGCATTTATAAAAAGTTCCATATGTAGACACTTCGAATAAAAGTAAAACTACTGCCCATTTCAAAATTTGTTTGTATTTGTATTACGTTTCACTATTTTACATTAAACTGTATAGACTTCGACGACAGGCGGCTCATTTGAAAGAGAATGGGGTAAGGATCTCGTGCCTGCCGGAATTTTTTCCTGGTCCTAGCATTAATATTATTAGGAGGAAAATACGCTCTCGTCATTTATGTTTGCCTAATGACTTTTTAAACTTGTTTTATTGAATTTAATCCCTAATTTTTGTGCATTAACAGGTAATTTTTGTTAAAAAAAGAAATGTTTATTTCTATTTCTTTTTTAGTTGGGCCGTATCGACTGTAATGACTCGCCAAAACGCTTTTCTATCTACAGATGAATCAAAGTGTGTAACATCATTAATTCCCCTCTGGGATATGTGTAATCACATGAATGGACACGTAATATATTCTTATACAATGATCCTCAGAACGAGTAGACTACAGTACCCATTCTTATTTTAGATTTCTACAAACTATAATCCGCAACTGAAGAGAAGCGAATGCTTTGCCATGAAGAATTTTAAGGCAGGAGAGCAACTGTTCATCTTTTATGGTGCCAGAAGTAACGCCGAATTGTTCACTCATAATGGGTAAGTAGTTTTCCAAGCAAATACATTTTGAATAGGTAACTCTTGTTATAGGTTTGTGTATGAAAACAACGAGCACGATGGATATCAGCTTAAATTAGGAATTAGTAAAGTAGATCCTCTAAAAGAACAGCGCGTTCAACTTCTAGAAAAACTGTCATTGGCAAATCAGAACGAATACGTAATAAAATCATCAGAACCTCAGATTGGCACAGATTTATTGGCATTCTTAAGAGTATTTAACATGGATAAAGGTATAATGGGTGCCTCCTCTTTGACTAATAACCATTGTATATTGCAGAGCAACTCCAGTACTGGTTGGAGCATTCGACGCCTAACAATTTAAAAAGCCCCGAATGCGCTTTTGATACAGCATTCGAAACGAAATACTGGGGATTTTTATTTACTCGTTTAAAGCTTATTCTCGCTTCATATAAGACGAGTTTAGAAGAAGATACGGAAGTCTTAAAGACAACTCCGTTACCTCATAATAAAAGATTGGCCGTTCAAATGAGAATGGGCGAAAAAAAAATTTTGCTATCGGCAATGCGGTGTGTCGAAGAAAAATTGAAAAACTAATTTATTACTTGTGTTTGTGAAGTTAAATGTTGTTGATTAAAATGCTCAAATGGAAAGTCTCGCCAGACATCTTCACATTCTTGACTACAATTTTTTTAATGCACCTCAAACAAGCTGTGACGTTCTTCACATGTCGTATTGTGTCATCTTTCAGAAAGTGCGTCTCACGAAATCTGCGAAAGAAGGTTCTGTGCTTAGGTACTAGAATCATCAGTTGTTCTTCGGTTTCGGTTTGTCCTGCATATAGAGGTTAGATAGACAATTTATGTGTACTCAAGCCAATTTCTTTACGCGGATTTACCCCCTCTAGCGACCTGAGACGTAACCAACAATTGCGTCACTTTCCCGATCTACATATACCAAAGCATAGACCAAAAGATAATATTATCTTTGCATAGACTAAAGCGTTGAATGAAAGGAATCCGCAAAGCCTTACTTTAATCGCATGTTTGCAAATTGCATCAATTATCACTACGGTTCATAGTCGGGGTGAAAATTTGCATACCAACATAGTTTTTCATGATCTATCGATAGAAAATATTATCATGATCGTGCCACTTCCAGTACTGAATAGTAACTTTCGTGTTTTAAGTAGAACACCCTACATTTTATTGCATTTTCGAAATCTACATGAAAATTTACGTCGTTTGATACCACATTTCCCTATACCTAGCTAGCATCAAAGGATTTCAAGTTATTCAAAATTTTTGACGTTTGACTGCTTCTCTTTAGCGCCCTGTACCTATGGCTCCTCAAAAAGTCTTCCAAAATCAACAATACTGACTTGATGCTACATGCGAATGATTTAAATTTTGATCGCCCTTCTACAGGGTGTTTTAAAATTAATGGTCAAGTTTAATAACTTTTTTCAAATGAAACCTGCTTTATTTTGTTGCACTTTCAAATGTGGAAAAAAATTCTACATCGATTAATTATTACTTCCCCTATACCTATCTGTAATCGTTTTCGTTTTACTACACTTTTGTGTAGCAGATCAGTATTTTATTAGTCCCCAATAAGATCTTGTCAGGGGCTACCATATTCCCTTTGTCGGTACCCTCTTCCTACGACCCGCAATTCGCATTTTGGTGGATTTCGCTAAAAATCCTCCATGAAATAGCGTTCAATTTTTGGGACACAGTTCTCATAGCTCGAGCTTTTATTGGCGACACGAGAAAGGTTACACATTTTTCATTCAACGGTTAGACAATCATTATTCTTATTTCAGAAGTGAGTATGTAAAGTTGCCTATTATAATGCACATTTTCTGTCTGTATAAGACAAGCGGCGCGGCGGAAGTGGTCCGATATGTGCGGTAAAGACATACTTATAGGCACAGATAGCTATAACATACCCAGCTACAAGTTACAACTATTACTGGTAGGAGACTTGATGTATTGTGGGTTGCCTATCATCAACACTAATTTTCGCGCTCTCGAGGTAAACTGTCGTTTTTCCAAGATAATTTAAATATAAATTTGTTTATTTGCAAAAAGGTAGCTTTTGGCCGGCCGGCCGGCTGGAAGCAAATGAGGGCGCGTATAAGAACGCTTGTAAAAAGACGAGAAGTGTACAATTGTACCGGGTGACCCAATAAGACTGTTCCTCGACCATATCTCGGGAGCCGTTCGTTGTATGATTTAGGGGTTAAAAAATTATTGGTTATCGGTTATAAAGAATCGCTGGCCATCTTCAATTTTAAAATTACATTTTCTTTAAATTTCGCGTAATAAACTAAACATTCTTTTTTCACATTTTTAAAGAGAACCAGTTTATCTATCATTTTTGTAAAAACAAAAACTCAGTTATTTCAAAAACAAAGATGGCGTGCGTGGGGCGTTCAATTGTTTTTGCAATAACCTGCTTTAACTTCTTAACGGTTTGACCGATTGTAACAAATTTGATTAATAGTTTATTATCCGGGGGGTAACACCGATTTCAACCAAATTTCACAGGGGTCAAGGGGAGAGGCCCACGATACTAAAAAACCATACCAAATTCGAAAAATACGCTACCCCCCGGATACGAAACCGTTACCTTCTTTATGAAAAAGTAGCCAAATACGACCCAAAGAGGCAAGTGAAAACCGTTTTTCAAAATCTCGTTCCTAACTTCAAATATTGGGAAAATGAGATTAATTAATTAATAAAAATGCTTAAATTGTATTTTATTTGACGTATTTCCGGTATTTGTCGATGGCGCGAAAGATTGTTTGGAAAAGGACCCTACAGTTTTAAGTAGGTCTTGGAAAATTAAACAAATGAAATACGATGCATTATATATTATATTATATGCGGGTCACTCTGTAATTGGGCGCATGCCTGTTGAGGGCCCAAAACAAGAGAGGAATAATAAAATAATAAAAATAATAACAGCGTTAATTTGTAAATTATTCTGCTATCTATCATTCAGCAGGTACAGTTTTTTGAATGTGTAATCTTTTCTAAAATGCCGATTTCTAACCAAGAAGCATTTAATATGCTGGCGGCGATTCAGAGCATATTTTAAGCTATAAAGTAGGCGACACTAGTGCCGCCTAGTAGTCAGTAAGCATATCAGTGGCAAAAACTTTGAAAAGTAATTTATTTTTGCCAATTTGAGACTCACTGGGAGACTAAAAGTCACTTAGAATATAAAAATTATCATATTCTATAAAACTATTGAAACATTTCTGGTTGGTGGTCTGCCCTAGAGGTGTCTTAGCACTGGCGGATTTATCAACAGGCTGAGTAGACTAGAGCCTAGGGCGGCTGATTTTAGGGGGCGGCAAATTTGGTTTAAAAATTTTTGTCATACAGAAATTTAACAAATTATTATTATACAGGGTGAGTTTTTTTACATGGCGGAGATCTCGTAAAGCGTAAAAGATACAAAGTCGTTTAAATAGGAAAAGATATGCAGAATTTTATGCTGATTAATTTTTCCTTTCACAGTTTCTTGATGCGAAATTATGGTCAAACATTTTCGCGAATACTTTCAATGATATCAAAAAATAATTTAGCAAACCCTTTGTGATTTTAAAATAAATTAAATATTATATTAAAATAAAGGCAATAAAATAAAAATAAAATAAAAAAATTGTGGGTTTCGAGTAAATCGCATTCACATTCTTATTTCTTATAAACGCCATAATGGATTTCTACACTCAACCAGGGGCGTAGGAACCGAGGGGGAGGGGTAGAAGGGTCAGTTACCTATATGAAAAAGATAATTATTATTTAATTAATTTTCCAAGATGGTCTGTCGGTCTGTACCAGTCCTCCAGTTTTTTGTTGTGGTATCTTTCTTATACGGTGTAGGACAGCCACGAGACCAGAACGACATAAGGTTTTTTCGATTAGTCACTTCCTTCCCGTCACTGATTCTGTGCGGGGAAAATGTGCTTTCGTCGGTTGCTAGTAACCACGTCTATACTATTAGGCTCGGCAGGAAAGAATGCCGGTCACAGAACGCTTGATGCTGGACTACAATCTTATGGTTTAATAGCAAAAACATACGATTGTACCTAGACCGGAATCGAGTGTTCTGTGACCGACATTCTCTCGTGGCGAGCATTGTAGTTAAAACTTCTTTATCAAAGAGTATTGACAGTTAGTTCACAATAAATTGGTTTCTAGTCTATAACTTTTGATTGAGAAGTCTGATCGAAAAAGTACGAATTGTTTTGGATGCTACGCACCAAAATTAATAAGAAAAAGTGTTTTCCCGAGAAAATTTGGTGTAGTCGATTTTTTGTAAAAAAAGGAAGGTTATACACTGCCTTTTTTTGAGGCCCGCAAACAAATTGTCTCAGATCGACCCGGAAAAAAATTTTCTTATAGAATGTGGCCTGTAGAATCCATAATTTGAAACAGTTCCAAGATTGGGCTACTAGTTCAAAAGTTACAGCCCTTTGAATTTTCTTTCGAAATTGGTTTTTAATAGTCATGCTAATAACCGGAAAAGCTGATGTAATGAAAACGGTAAAGCACAAATTATAAAGTTGCAATTGTCAGAATAAATGTAGGTAATTAATATGATTGCGAATTGGGGTATCGAATTTCGGTCAGTCAGTAGGGGCGGCAAGAATGGAATAGCCTACTGGTGGCAAATTTCTGAATCCTCCACTATGTCTTAGTGCAAAGCTACCGAGCATGTGATCTATCACTCTGACGCTTTGATCAGGGACAGATATCAACCTCTTGCAACCGGGGAGGGTGAAGCAACTTAGGCTAAACAGGGTCTTATCCTTCATTGAGAGGAACGGGCTCTGAACTCAGTTTGCGAAAAAAGGGGTAGATGTTTTAGTTCGCCAACTGGGACAGTCCAAAAATTTTACACTGGTGTGGAGCTTTCAGTATGGCCCACAGATACTGGGTTCAGTGTCGCCTAGTCGAAGTTGTTTAAAATATGCTCTGGCGATGGTTCGGTGGTCGATTCGGATAACGCAAATAGAAGTTGCGAGCAGCGATGGTCGCATTTTGAAGATACTCAAAATATATTGTCAGCATATTAAATGCTTCTTGGTTTAGGTTTAGTTTATTATGCGACATTAAAAAAAAAATGTAATTTTAAAGTTTAAGATGGCAGAACTTGAAAACATTTTCCATAACCGATTTACCCAATAATTTTTTTTACCCCTAAGTGATACGACAAACGGTTCCCGAGATATGGCCGAGGAACCGTCTTATTGGGTCACCCGGTACATGTACCTACCGTGGCCGTGTTATTAACAACTTTAGGGACGGGGCTACATGATGTGGGCTACAGTTTTAGTCCAATTATTTTCAAATTGGTGTCGATGGAAGGTTCTTGTAAACGCGCTGAGTGACGAAATGTTGTTTTTTTCCTAGGGGCTAAATTAACCACATTTTGGTTGGCGCGCGTCTTCGAGGGGTATCATACCGTCCAACCTTAAGAAACATTAAACCGCGTCGCAAAATTCGCAGCGGAAGGTAACTTTTGGGCGCCCGAGGTCAACTAGGTACCCCTTGACGACGCGTCTTTGTAAAAGGTGGTGAATTTCGCCCCTAGGGGAAAAAAACAAAATTTTGGCACGCAGGAGTTGTGCGCCTTTACAAGATGTTTACGACGACACCGAATCACACGCTCGGGAATGGCGCACTGATGTCGCCGACTTTCTACAAGCGTACGTTCTTCTAGGGGCCCTCATTTGCTCCCAGTCAGCCGGCCAAAAGCTACCTTTTTACAAATAAATTTGCAAAAACGCGCTAAAAATAACCGAAATAAATCGCTTTTATAGACAATACACGGCAATTAAGTTTCTGACCATTCGGCTTGTTAATCATCAATAGGTACGTATCTAAATATCTCGCGCATTCCACCGTATTTTCCAGTGAGGTTATGTGCTATTTCTGTGTCCGTCCGTCTGTTCGAGGCCGCAGCTACTCCACATCCAATGTATTTAGTTCGTGTTTTTTTTAACTCGGTAACTTATAGCTCTGGCACCTGACGATTAATTTGCGCATGCGCAGTCTGAGTAATATAAGAGGTTCCACCCTGTACATACAACTTACGACGATGCCACATTTGTGAAAGTTGACAACGGCGCAACTTTTAGGAGGGAAAAAGCTGTGTCGCTTTCTCGTAGAGCACCACATTACATTTGGCATCTTGTTGTTAGTGGCGGTTACGAAAGCATCACACCGCTAATGTTTGTTATTGTTATTTAATGCAGGTAGTAATCTTTGCCTTTCTTTATAATTTATTTGTGTTTTGCATGCACCATTTTATATTTGTTTATAATTTTCAATCTTTGTTTTTGAAATCGAAATGATTTAACCTCAATGCATTACGTGTGTTTATGGAATACCGTTAATTTTCATTGCTTAAAATCGTTATTTCGTTTTTTGGTTAAAATATTTGCTTAATTTATGTTTGTTTTGAATTACATGGTCTTTGTCTCAAGTTATATTCATATCAATTTTGATCATTTTTTGAAGTTTGATATGCGTACTGACTTGTTTGTAAACTAACAACTGGCCTTGAAGACACAGGGGGGTGGTAAATTGTTGTAAGAATATTAAGTTACGACACCCTATGCCGGGACTGTTCTCGATACTCAACTATAGGCTGGTAACTCCCGCAACCAGGGTCCATGTTACCTGTCCGAGGGGTCAGACTCTGCTAACACAAAACTCTTCGTAAGTTGCAATTTACTACCCAATTTCCACATGTTTCGTAGTTTGAATATTGATTTTGCCCTCCAAGGTCATGTAATTAACAGACAGAAGGGTTATATTGCACCAAAGATGAGTTACCTTTTGTACAGCTACTAGTTCTTTGTTTTACAACTTGGTTAGCCTCTTTTTATATCATGTTTTGTGTATGGTAGTCTTTAGTTTCTAGTTTATAAGGCGTTTTTTCTCCACAGAAATGATAATACCAATTTTATTACAGCAATCCGTCCGGACTCGATCTACATCTGATATCCTTACCTGAGTGCTTTACCACTTTTCTGCATTTAACGCCTTTCGAACTTTGCTTGATACTTCATGCAGCCTTCTTATTTCGGAAATTTTCTTTGGACATCAAATTCCAACTTTATGCATACTATACCTACCGACCGGGAATTTGTCTGAAATGTACACATATGGGCTATGTGCACTATGCCAATGCATGGAATACATGGATGACGTCACGTGAGCGATTCGAAATTATTTGTAATGACGTCACCACGAACTTTGCCGAATGCATATATATTCAATTAATTTTGCGCTTATTTTACAAACGGAAAGTGTCGAGAGAGGTCTCAAAAATTCGCAAAAAATTTTCGGGAACGCTAGGGATTATAATTATTAAACGTAATCACGTAATATCACGTGTAATGTTGGTTGCATATTCCATTGACCCGGTTATGGAAATATGAAACCGCGTCGATGCACAATATATTTCTGTTACGCCTAGGCATAGAGTAAATTATATTATTTACTCTATGGCCTAGGTAATGGAGAGTATTTAAAGCTTCCCCTACTACTCAGTGCTATAGAAGCTGCTTGTTACGCGATCCGAGTGGGGTTTACATGACTTTGGTTTACCCTGAGATCATATCCAGTGCTACTTATTAAGACGTAAACATAGGGATTTACGTGTATTGTTTTTCCCTAGGTCTATTTTTTAATGACAAAATCTCTTCTGACAGCTAGATCTTTATTTGTTTTAAGAAGTTATTTTGGTTGCATAAAATTAGGCGCCCTTCAGAAGGGATTTTCTCATTTAACAATACACAAAGGGAATAACAACACACGTAAATCCCTATGTTACTTCTTAATGAATAGCAGTCCATGTACTGTATGGTCTAAGGTTTTGCCTTATTTTCATTTCGAAATTCACAGAGGTCGTAGAAAAAGTATGGTACGTAATTCGGTTGTAATATCCCGTTCGTGCATCGTGCGCAACTTTTCTACTCACTTGTAATATGCACTATTACAACGTTTATGACGTAATATACTATTATAAGATTAGTTATTAACTGCCACGTGGCACGAATAATAATCAGTGAGATCTGACAGACGTCACTCATGGTAGATGTACCTATACAATCATTACCATTAGTTCATTAGATCGTTAAGAAATAGCCAATAGAAACAAAGGATTATTTGTGCATCGTCAACCAATGAAACCATACCTTTGTTTTTATTGGCTATTTCTTAACTATATAATGATAGTGAACGAATGATAATGATTGTATAGACCCACCATTAGCACTTTATAATTCCAGAAGTGGAACTGTCATTCACATTTACAACAACACTCTTGGTTTGTAGGTACTTATCGATAGTTATCCTAGGATTCAAAGAAAATTAATTTCTACCAATGCTCCAACGTTGTCTTGAAAGTCTTAAACGCCTACGAAACACAACTAATTAAGGAAGTGTGACTTAGGAGAGGGTAAGTGAGACATCTGTTAATGTTCTAAAATTTTATTAACATAATTAGAAATTGTACTTGTCGAGAATTGCGAGGTCAAACGATATCGTATTGCTAAAAATGCAATTAGTCGAAAAATTAATGCGTAAATGCCTAAAGCTAACATATTTATACTATACGATGCGTCTAACATTCCTAAATCTTTCAACATTTGATTTGGATCCTTGTAGTGACAATAATACTCGTGAAAGCAATCAAACGGTCCCCTGTCTTGAAATATTGCGGTCATTGCTGCCACTACTCCGAACCGCACGTAACTGATACCCATTATTACTTTCATGTACGATTCAATTGTACTTCCATAACCCATTCCGTACACGCAAAGGATTACTAAGGGAGCGGCTATTGCAGATGCCACCACCGTGCCATTCTAAAAAAGGAAAAGATTCACCAAACGAATAATTAAGTTTAACAACCTACAGCAACATTAAATATGGAACCCACTGCTAAACCTAAACCTTCCGTGGCAATTGCAATTAAAATTCCGGTAAGCATAAAATAGCAGAAGCGTGTAACTTCAACGGGCTGATAAGTAAGTCCGTATGTAACCAAGATGACCAAAATCCCTAAAGTAAGCTGCAACAAATATGTGGTTAGTGAGCGACGCTACCGCGTCTTACCAAAAGCGGAACATTTTGAAGTGTTACTGCCAGGAAATAAGGTTTTAACCCGTACCATCGATTAAAGTATTCCCTTTTTAGTATCTTTATTTCGGTGGGATCTAGGGATAAGCTGCTTGATTTCGTATTAGCAATCGGTGTAAATACTTACATGTTATCGCGGGCGTCATCAAATAGGTAAATATAAAAAACATACACACGGCTAAACAGAAGAAGAAATTTCCTAAAGCCATTTCTGCATTATTTCCTATTCCAAAAAATAAGGTTCCTAATAGAACCGCGGCGACACTGTGACTAAACAACTGTAGGGAAATGCCAGCCTTATTTCTGCTAAGTTGTAATAACATTCGCGCGTACAAAATACAAAATTGTGACCAGAACGATGTGGGGAAGTTAAAATTTAATTTAACTTCCGTTGTGTCTTCGTAAACACCTCTTCTGGTAATGTATTGGTCAGACATGCCTTTCCTGTTAGATTTACCATTGTGTATAACCTGAGATAAAGCGGAGGAACATTCTTTGTTACCGTGAGTAACTTCGATAACTGCAACGGGTCTAATGTCAAATTCTTTAATCCTACAATTGTATATCTTACTGTATTCCGATGGAGTATACGTTACGGGGCAGGTAATACCCACCGACGCCAAATGCGGTACGATTTCCGATATTGTGCCATTGTAAACGCAAATTCCATCGGCAAGAAAGTATGTTTGGTGAAATTTTTGAAAGACAGATGCGGGAGGTTGATGTATAGTACAGATCACTGTTCTTCCTTGCGCAGCCAACACCTCAAAAACATCGATGCAATTATTTACGGCCACAGTGTCCAATCCACTATAATGAAAATCAAATGATTTCGTTATTAAATACCTAAAATCATTATCACCATCGTTCGATCATTAAGAAATAGGTAGCCAATAGCAAAGATTTATTGTGCGTCGCTAACCAACGAAACCATACCTTTGTTTCCATTGGCTATTTCTTAACAATATAAAATGATTGCATAAACCCACCATTAAATTTACTTACCTTGTAGGCTCATCCAAAAGAATTATTGGTGGGTTATTGACCAACTCAACTGCAACGGAAAGACGCTTCCTTTGCCCACCGGAGATGGCTTCAGTTCTGGTTTGCCTACAAGACTCTAAGCCTAACATTTTTAAGATCCCATTTACCTAAAAATAATGTTATTAAGTTATAGTACGTGACACTGTATACGAGGCTTACGGTTTCCCTTTGCTGTTCCGCAGAAACATTGTCGCCTAACTTCAATTTTGCCGCAACGATCATTAGTTCGTCTACGGTCATCAATTGCGGCAATAAGTCCTCTTGCATAATATAAGCGCACATTTTGTGGAACCGTTTCAAATCTCTTGGTTTTCCATTTACAGATATCGTGCCTGTTACACCGCTGGTTCTAAAAGAGATAATGCAAGAGATTTTAAATGGGCCAAACGTTAGCTTAAATAGCACCTACAGTGCGTTCGAGATAAGAGGATCACCTTCTATTTGGCGAGATACGAAAAATGTGTCAAATATAATTTTATATGTGACATTCGATCTATCCGATCACATATTGAAGGTATCACTTCCGAATTAACCGGAAATCGTTTTCGAAGATAATCGCCATTTTTAAAAAGTTCAAACGACATCGACATCGAAAAAAGTTGCAAGATTCGATGGGATAATTCAATGGACGTAGAAAAAAAATTTTCAAACTGGCGGTTTTCGAAGTATGAACATCACCTTCGCTCTATTTTAAATGGCCGCCATATTGGATTTTTAATCAGTTAGATACAGTTTTTTTTCTCTTTCCAACAATGTATAATAAGTTATCATTCAAATAATAAACATGGGTAATATTACAATTTTCATTTTTTCTTCATAGTTGCCCATGGAAACAAAACTGTTTAATAGGTACATTGAGCAAGATAACTGCTGCAGTAGCTAAACGGAGCCGAATGTGTTTTTGTATGCATTTTGAACATTTGCTGTAGGTAATTTTAAATTCCGTTATGATATTTTTTTATAATAATTTATTCTATAATAAAACTACTGACCGGCCAGACAATTGTAACATTGCAAAATGCCAATTGCTTGCTGTTTCCATGGCCAACTATGAAGAAGAAGTGAAAATTATAATTTTACCCATGTTTGTTATTTCAATGATAATAATAATAATAACTTTATTGCCCAACAGTGTATAAACCAATTATGGACAAATACAAAATACAACAAGTAATAGTATAGACTTACAATTGAATAATTGAATAAGTGACGTAATTACATGTACGTAATTCCAAAGGAAAAGAGAACAAAACAAAAAAAACACCAGAGGTAAAAATAAAATCTCGATTCCAAAACACCAACATTCATTTTATAAAAAATCTCCGTTTTATACCGGTTTAGTATTATTTAATAATCTGCCTGAAACTCTAAAAAAAATGAACTACCCTCTATTCAAAAATAGAACGAAACAGATATTACAAAATAATTCTTTCTATTCAGTATACGAATTTGTTGATTATAGATCTCTAATAAAAACTTAATGACTGGATGCACCTGAATTGTTTGTCCACAAATTTAATATTGTCATATATACATATACATGTTTTGTTTGTGATTTGACCGAGGATTTGACATTTCTGTAATTGTTATTTACAATTTTTTGAATTAAAGATTATTATTATTGTTATTATAAAGATGAAAACTTGTTATAGGTACATGGTTAGAAAGAGAAAAAAAACTGTATCAAACTGAGTAAAAATCCAATATGGCGTCAATTTGAGATCAGGATGTTGATAATTGATGTCAATATCTCGATAACCGCCATTTTGAAAAATTTTGTTTACGTTCATTGAATTTATTTGAAACTTTTTTCGATAGTTCTCTTTGTTACTAAAATATTTGAACTTTTTAAAAATGGCAATTTTCACTTTTTTCCAATTATCTACGAAACGATTTCTTTTTTTTCCAAAATATTGCATCGGAATATCCATCAGCATCAAAAACTACACAATTTTGCCAATTTAACCGAATTTGTAAGTTTAATAATAACAAAGATAGCAATGTTATCCTACTCAATTTAAAACATCCTGTATACCCGTGTAAGGGTTCACTTAAATCGACGCGGGAATGCGGAAACGGGGGCGGGACGGACGCGGAATATATTTGTACAGCGGGATATGCATTCGAACCGGCGTCGCATCGGTATGCATACTTCATACTTGCATATCCCGCATCGGTCCCGCTCCCGATGCTACGGTGCGCACGCATATTCCGCTGTACAGGGTGAGTCAACGATTGCGCGGAGTAACTTAATGCCTTGAAGATAAGATTTTTCGATAGAGTGCTTTTGTATTCTGATTTGGTTGAATATTCTCCACATTTTAAAAATATTTGGAATTATACAGGGTGCGTCCACAAAGTAGAGCGTCAAAATGGTACATTTTTTAAAATAGAACCTCCTGTATTTGAATGCATTTTTGAATTTTACGTGTACATAATTGTACGTCTTTTTTATTACATGGTTAATATCCGAAAAGCTAGTAGTTTTAAAGATAATTAGATTTTTAAGAAAAATTGGGCATTTGCAAGCGTCAGTATATTGTCAAAATTATTACTGAAATTTTGATTCCAGGTTTTATATCTTTTATCCTGGGTTAAATAAAAGTCAAATAAATACATCTAGTATGAAACATTAAAGAAATAGCTTACAGGGTGTTTTTTTGTAGATCCAAAGTTACAAAACTTCATATTAAAAAATCTCACCCTGTATATTTTTCTGTCATCATTTAGCTCCTCCAAAAACCTTCAAGTTTTGATAATAATGCCCTATACCTATCTCTGATAGTTTTCGAAATATCTTAGTTTTCCTGGGTTTTATATTCTAATCTTAAATAAGTTATATGTAATTTACATAATAGTGAGGTGGCCGGTTTGAGTAGACCTTAACATAACAGACACCGCACATCCTAACAGCACACGGCATGCCAGTTTTCATAAATTTTTTAATATTGAATCCACCTCTTGTTTTTTGTCTATTTTTATAATACTGTATGGGAAGTACTGTACCTCCTAAATGCCCCCCCCCCCGCCACCCTGGAGATTTGAGTGAATCTCCTTCAAATCAAGAATGTTAGGTATTCTGAGTTACAAATTTGACCCGAAAGATGACAGATCCTCTTCATTCATTTATTGATGACAGAACATTTGAATCGATTATTCCAATTTTGTGTTGCTACATTTGGCCATTGGTGTCGAGACTTGGAAGATCAAAAACGTTCTGAAAAATGTTTAAAAATATCTAGAAATGACTAGAATTGACGAAAACCGTTTCGAAAAAATGCTACAATCCTTTGAAAAGGCCACGAAGATCTCTGGAAAGAGGTTTCAGAGGATTTTTCTTTTCCAGAGCGCCTTCCGAGGGTTTCCTGGCGTGTTTTGACAAGTTTGAGACCTTTTCCAAAACTTTTTGGGTGTCCACAGACCTTCCCAGAACCTTTTTAATGAGTTCTATTATCTTCCAGAGCTTTGTAGTTCATTTTATGCCATTCTGACACTGTAAAAGGCACCTAGGCGATTTTCAATCATTTCATTCAAATGTTATCCGCCTAAAGAAACCGAAAAGCGTTGGAAGGCGATAATCGATTGTTCTATAGAGGCTTCGAGGGTTTAAAAATGGTTTTGGAAAGCCCTTCGATATTCTGGAAGCCTTCACAAGATGTTAGAAAGCATTTAGAAGGCTTTGTCTGACCTGGAAAAATTCTATACGGCTCTGGTCATTTCATACGGTCTGGAAAAGATCTAGAGAACTTTGAAAGGTCTATCGCTCCGGCAAACTCTGAATGAGGTATTAAAAATCTTGGCCATCACAACCTTTGCGAAAGTGATAGGGTGCTCTGAAAAATTGTTACACTACACTGTAAAGCTTTACAATGTTCTGAAAAATACTTGCAGCCTAATCAAAGTTTAGAAATTCTGCATTTTAAAGTTTCCTAGCGGTTGTCTCTGATTTCAGGAGCTGTTAACGGGTCTTTTAGTCTCTTTCCATAATTCTTTAGGGCCGTTCGGAGCTAGAAAAGTTCAGGCTGGTTTTAAAATGGGAGTATAAGGCTTGCCGAAAAGCCCAGAGAGCCAAATAAAAATGCTATGTGGAATGTCAAACTGTCACTAAACCACCCGCAAACACCTGTCAGATAGTTCAAGTCTCCGCCATGACAAAAATTTGGATATTGACGTCAATTTTATTAATTTGAGATATTCAGCAGCCCTGACCGCAACCAAAAGTCCAAGAATGAATTAAGAGGTTTAACTCCTGATATAATTTCGCGCAGAAAATAGAAAAATTTAACTTGAGAACTCCGATCTAGGTCGTCATTTGGGAACATAAAACTAACCATTTACAGATGAAACGAAATTTATGTAACATCAATCAACTGAGCTGAAAGAATGAATGGCATTCAGGGCAGGGCCATGTAAAATACACCCCCAACAAGCGAACGATTAAACTAATTGAATGAAATCTTAATTAAATACAGTGTTAATAATCTATAATCTGGCTACGGCTACGTTTCAAAAAACTCGATCCACATCTTCCATCAAAAAGAACCACCACAAAAAGCTTAACCAACAAAAGGTGTCGTTTAAGGTCTGCTTTGCTTATTTAAAACCTGTTCCCTTCCATTTACTTCCTTCTTCCTTTAAAAATAAAGCGTGTCTTCGAGTGATCAAACTGTACCTGTGTTCAATTCGGCGGTAATACGTCCTTATCTTGCAGCTAATTGCAGCGATAAGAAAACTTTTCTACGACCGGAGAAAAACATGAGATAAACTTTTACAAATACGACGCAAATATTTTTTTACGGGGCATTCATCGTCAGTTTTGGGCGTTGTGAGGTCAAATCCACATTCTGACATAGTTACAAGTCGTGATTTTGACGATTGCAATTCAGGGGGTCAGTTGAAATTCCTCTTAGAAATTTAACACGTTTAATAAAAATTTTTACTATAGTAGGCTGCGCTTGCGTACCCTATATTCTGTGGTAGTAGTATAGTACCATTGAATTATTACAATGGTACTATGATAGTACCTAGAGAGAGGCGGACTACGTGGTAATATAATTAACATTTTGGACTGCCTGACTCATTTCCGGTACGTTATTTTGATCGTAAAAAAATTGACTTTTGTACAGGTGTGTGGGGTATATGGACCTTTAAGTACGGTAATTACGAATGATTTTTTCGCTTGCACACAAATAACAAATAGCACAAGTACTAGAGCGAATACCAAACAATAACACCCTTGAAAACGTATACAAAGGGAAATGAAAAAGCGGATGCAAGATGCACTATCTAATCTGACCTCAAAACATCGAAATATTGAATCACATTTAACTTACACATATCCAGCGAGAATATTTAATAGAGTTGTTTTTCCTGATCCGCTTGGACCTAAAATGGCTGTTAGTTCTCCAGAAGAAAATTTCCCGCTAACAGAGCTCAAGATTTTCTTTGGGGCTGAAACAAAAATGATTATTAAATTCTCGTTCCCTTTGGGTTTTTTTAAATTTAACTAAAACAAATTTTCGCAGAGGTTTTTACTCACAGTCCTTCACAATAAAATAATAAATAGGTACTTAAATATCAGTAATATTGATCCATAAAGCGAATAGCACAGTACTTCTTTTATATGCAGTTTGGATCACTATTTCAGTTACCAGACATTTTCATGCTTTATAGATTCTTCATGCCTCCTCTTGCTTTTATCGCTCGCTCGATATATCCATCGATTTAAAAGATAACAGATGGACCGATTACCATGAAATCTTGCAACCTGAGCATAGCTTTATAGCGATATAATATGCAATGCCAACAGTTGAGCCTAATCCTAATCTATTCACAGTGCCTTTTTAGCGTATTTTTGTAAATTTATCTGTAAATAGCGTGACATTCTTGGATAAAGACATCATTTGAATTTACCAACACTAGAACGTGTCCTAGTTAAGTCACCCTGTCGATTGTACGGGTTTATTTTGTCCGTTACGAGACATTATTATTGTTTACGGTTTATTACTTGTCGTAGAACATATTGAAGTGATTTGATAAATGACTCCACCTATGTATTGATGGAATTTTTCCGCGCACAATGCCAGCGCCTTGATTTTTGGGTGTCGACTGTCATTTCTTTTTCTTTCGTTATGGTTATGGTTATCTTTGATTTCTTTTAGGGTCCAAGTTCCATACACGTTTTACGTTACATACTAATTCTTGTTCGACGTACAAGTTTTGTAACATAACTGATACCTGCGGCCATTTTGCTGAAATAGGTCACCGGCAACTAATTATATATACCGAGCCCTGCGGCTTAGGAGGTTTTTCTTTTTGATTGTTTTCAGATTTGGAGGCGAGAATTGAGCTCACTTCTTAACGTCAACGTCCAATTTTATTCAAGGTAAGAGTTGCCTTTATATGTTTTACGTGTACTTGGCCCTATACGTGCGAATTTTTGCCCGGAATATCAATTTATTTTACGATTCAGTAATCAGGTTAATCGATCATTACTGTCTTGGGATTTATTCTTTTGGAGAAGTTAATTGGGGGTTTTCTGGGTTTAACACTTACACTTGGGGAAATTCGTGTATGGGAATATTTTGTGTAATTAATGTGATTCCATTTTGGTTTGATATTTGGAATAAACCAGTATTACTTTTGGTACCCCTCGTATCATCTCAATTTCATACGGGGAGAGTTACGATAGAAATTGGGTGGCGCTCAACCCCATGGATAAGTGGTAACGAAGGACGAAGATCATATGCTCAGAACGAATTACCACTGTGATAGTTTTCAAGCTTTTATTTTATTTTCCAACCCTGATGAGCTAGTTGGCCGTTTGTGCGATGCCATGCCCAGTTTGAATTTCAGGCAATTCGGTTCATACCTAGCAGATAGGTACATCAAACGTGAATTGCCCGTGAACGAGACGTCGGAAATGGGTACTAACAAAGGGAATGCGGTATTCCCCGACATGATCTTACTGGTGGAGTCAACACTGACTAATAGAACACTTATCTACCACACAAAAATGAGATTTCGATCTCAGGACTTAATTTTTCGCCACACAAAAGTGTATGAATTTAGATGAATGGCATAAATATATTAATGTTTTAGTCCAAAAGTTAATTATGTATTCGCACTTATGTAAATTTAGTTAAAGTGGGTGTTATCCTTCCTACTAGATAGACAATAAGGTAGATTACATCATGATGAAAGAAATGTTTTCATAACCAGAATCAATCTCCAGATAATTTATGCTTTATCTCAAGGCTAGTGACATTTTTTCCGATTTTCTTACATTCCTCTACATGTAGCGTGACGTAAAACAGACGCCAAACAGCTGGACCACTAACGTTACGTAAGAGTGAGCGAGAAACCGCGTTCAAATGTAAGGCGCGAGTAACGCAGGGTTAATTAAGATTAATTAAATAGCGGTCACTCTTGCTAGAACTAATTTGAACTTAATATTGAGCCTAAATCCCAAATACAACACATTTTCATATGCACAGTATAAAACGGTCCTCCGACATTAATAGTGGAGCCATCCCTCCTTCTCATTCATCGACAACGGATCATGTACCTAACTTGGAAATTCCTAGGTGGACGGTAAAACTTCTTCACATGGGCGCCGCTACATAGGGGCAAGGAGGGGCCTTGGCCCCCCCCTGGGAAAAGGGAAAAATAAAAGGTAACACTTGTCGTAAGCAACACAACGGGCAAGGGCCATGTAATCGTTTCCCTTGCGTTGCGTATTCACTTGGGAAGTGCATAGATCTCTTTGGAACAGATAATAGAAGAGTTATGTTTTTGTTTAAATAAAATGAAACGCAATAAGTTTGTTACTGGCACGTAACCTTGAGTTTGCATACCCTACCCCCTCCACTCACGTCCATATTAATGGTGAGCTTGCCCCCTCCTACAAAATTTCCTGGCGGCGTCCATGCTTCTTCATTCTATTTGTTTTCATGGTATATCCTTGTATTTTAGAAATTACGAGCAAACCACAATTTCAATTAATACAACCGTTTAGGGTTAATGATTTTAACCAACAATTGGACACACTTTTTGTTATATTATTGCGAATAGCAGAGAGTAATAGCTAGAAAGGTGACAGAGCGGTGGACTTTACGGAGTCATTGGATTTGGAATCATTCCAAGCGTTCGCGTGCGGTCAGACTACACCAATTTCTATAACAATTTTGCATCGCTTTGCTATGCCGCTTATAATAATTTGCACTTTAAATTTCCTTATTGGTTTGTTCTGATGCGGCCCGTGTAGCGCAGTTCAGTGGAAGCTCGACTGCGGTACAGGGTCCCTGGTTCGAATCCGGGTTCGAGCATGGATATTTGTAAATGTATAGTGGGTTGGGTTGGTAGAGCAGCCTCGGCTGAAACCCCGCCCACTTAAAAATAAAGGCAAAATAAAATAAATAAATTCAAATGTTTTTACAACTGGGCTCAAGCCCTTCCGAAGGTTCACGGCAATAAACGTTCGCACAGCAGTTTCAACAATGGACCTTTGCCTGAATTAGATGGTCGTTATCCGTATACTACTTCACTTTATGCGACGGAAAGTTTTTGTTCGACGTTCATTATTCGTCACTTTGAATTTGTTCGCGATCATCCGTATTTTTGCAACAATTAACGGAACTCGCGGTTTTAAGTTTTACGTTTCCAAACAGTGGCCACTACGGTCCTAAACTCGGAACTGGTTCAATTTTTTTATCGATATACCGCGTTCGCACCTCTAGATGTAGTATGGTGCTTATGGACATACAGTACATGCTTGCCAACTTTAACAAATATTGTGAATATGTTGTGTTTTAATACTCTTTCAATCATATGTCGGTTTGGCATCGTTGTGGTGAGGAACAAGAATAGCGTTATCAAAGAATGGCGCAAATTAGTAAGAGAGACTTTTAGTCCATAAGATGCGAACGTATTACAGTAACAGCGCCGCTCTGAACACGACCCTTTCCACAAATTGCAGACCTTATGTCTCTACCGACTTCCTAAAGGTATACGCAAACCTACGCGGTCGCGGTCGCGGTGGCGAACGCGGTGGCGGGCAATAGAATGCACACACTTTATACAGGCAACGCATACTGAAGCGTTCGAGCGGTGGCGGTGGAGATCAGTGCAGCGAACAAACGCGGCGATCTACACCTTTTCCACTTTTATTCGAGAAGTTGTAAATTGTATTTGAGAATTGTTACTTGTATTTTGAGAAAACGTCAAAGTAGATGAGAATAGTCAGTTGGATTTGAGAAAACATCAAATGTATTTGAGAATAGTCAATTGTATTTGAGAAATTATCATTTAATTTTATTGTATTTTAGAATGTAATATTATTCCTAATGAATTATAATTAAGAATCAAATTTTTATAATTCCGCTACTGTATGTAGTCCCGCAACAGCAGCAGCAGCAGCATCAGGCTATGTTATACATGTGATTTTGTTATTGATTCTCAAATGCTTAATTTTACCATTTCTTGAATACAATTTACTAGTCTCAAATTCATTTGATGCCTTCTCAAATACAAATCACTATTCTGAACTACATTTGTTGTTTTCTCAAATACATTTTACTATTCTCAAATACAATTGATACTTTCTCAAATTAACTTGATAGTTTCTCGAATAAAAGTGGAAAAGGTGTAGAGCGGTGGCGGGCAACCGCTGCCCTCACAGTTGGCCCGCCAGTTCGCGCTGCATGTCTCGAAAGAAAATGACAGAACAACTAATTGAGTTAGTGAGAGGAAATCCAATTTTATACGACCTTACATGTAAGGAGTATAAAAATATAAAAAAAAAGATAAGGTATGGGATGAATTTGCCATAATACTGGACAAACCTGGTGAAGGTAAGTGTATTTGTTTATAGTTTTAGTACATTGTTAGGCATTAGAAAAAGAAACAAATCTATCCCGTACTTCAAATGCCATATTTCAATCAATTGGTAGTGTGCTTAAAAAAACGTGATCTCGCGGATTGAACGCCCTAGTGTGCGGCCTCACGTTCGCCACCGTTACCGCTACCGCCACCGCGACCGCATCCGCGTAGGTTTGCGTATACCTTAAAGTAATTAAGAAACAAAATACATGCCCGTTGCACTGCAGTCAAACAATCCATTCCTTCAAACTCAGCAAGACCACGATTGGCGGTTAGGCGTAGCGCGTCTGGCCGCCGGATAGGGTAAATTAAGTGAAAAAGTGTACTTCTTTTCATCTGTGAACGGATTCCGTCATATTTTTAAAAGTGCATTTAATACTTATTAATATAAGACGATAAAGGGGATATTTTAACCCTTGAGTGAATTAATCGTCGTGTATAATACAAACTTTATTTTATTTTGACAATTCTGAATTTAATTTAAACGTCAAAAATAGCAATCTTAGGTTCCGAACGTCATTTTAGATCGTGCTCCGCGTCCCATTTAAAATAAAAATGACAGATCATTAGAATGCACAATCATTTGTTTCACTTTATCTACCCTTGCGGTTAAAGAGCGACTTGGTCTACTGATTAAAACCTATTAAATTTCCATTACGTCGATAATTGTTTGAAATTGAGTATTATAATTTGCTTGATATGACCAGGTCCCGATTGGTTCCCAACCTCCAACCGCCGAGCAATCTAGAAATTGAACAAAGCTTTTGCTTTCTTCCGGAAACAATATGAACTCAGTACCAGTGCCCCCTAGAAACGTTATATACCCGATGAACTTCTATACAGGGTAAGTAAAAAGTACCGGAATGGTCGATTATCTCCGTTATTTATGAAGAAATGTTATAAAAGATTTTGCACATACAATGCTAGTGTTTTTACAGTTCCAAAGAACGATGAACTGGAGTCATGAATTTGAATATGTAGTTATTCTTAATGTCATATACCGGTACCAATGGTATTTTTCGGTTCCAGTTTATTCTCATAATACTCTGCCTTATTTACCTTCTTTGTTATTGGATATTTGTAAATGGGCAAAATGTTTATCTCGTAAAATGCAAAATTAATGACAAAGTGATCTATTACAGAATTAAATTCTACACAAAACATGTTTTTGGGATAGATATTTTCTGTACGGTTGACCTTTAACATATTCGCGATTCAAATTAACAGTGAGACCTCTGGTGGCAGCACATTTAATTAATACAGGTGGGAGAAGATCGCCATTTTTGTTTATTTACAATGGACAAAAGTTATCGATATTGTAGTTTTTACGGATGTTCCGCTACCGGTTCTTTTCGGTTCCGGTTCCTGGTTTCAAACAGGTAGTAGGATTAAGGGGTTATATTTTCAAGCTTCAAAAATAGCATAATAAACTCATCTGCTAGAATAACCATATGTTTACAAACCGCTATCGCCTACACTCGCCATTTGTAAATTACACTAGCGCCTCTAGTGTTAATCTGAATCGCAAATAAAGTCTGGTTTTAAATGAAGAATTAAGGTTTTGTTTCCTAAAAAAGCATGTTGTTTTTTTTATTTTTCGTAATATAAATGTTGAGTTAAGCTATAACTTCTATATTTGGAGCTACAAGAAACTTTGAATGGGAAAATTAATTAACATAAAATTCTGCATTGTATTCCTTACGGTTTACGAGATCCCCATGGGAAAATGAAAAAAATCGCACCTTAGAGAGTGAGCGGCTAAAATATGGAACAAATTCAATTAAAAATGAAGCGTTGATGCTCGCACACTTTTTCTTGCGCATTTTTTGCACTAAACAGATATACAGGGTGCGTTATTTTCGAATTATTTTTATTATGCGTAGAATGTGATACAGAATTCGAAAATGGATTTTTATAAAACACTATTCCATTTAAAAAAACAACTTTGGTATCAAACTCTACTTTTTGACGCACCCTGTATATTTTTTCTTTAGTGCAAAAAATGCACAAGAAACAATTATGTTGACGTGTGCGAACTTTTCTTTTAAACCCAACACTTTGTTTTTAAAGGAATTTGTTATACAGGGTGATTAGTCTGGGTTGGTCGTACAGCATCCGTGGATCATAAAGGCGTGGCGCACCAATATTGCATTTTTGTTTAAATGGAGCACCCATATTTCAATTCTTTTATCAATTTGTAAGAAGCATAATGTACCCAAGTGCAATCGTTTTGAAAATAAAAGTATTGCTTTAAAATGCATCGAATAAAGAACAATAAATTAATGACATCCCGAATTTCTTTTGAAAACATTCTGTGGTTCTGAAAAGAACCATTGGCGTTTGTGAAGCTTGTTATGATTGTCCGGAATCATTAATTATTGTTCAATTATTAATAAATTATTTAAAATAATAGCGTTTATTTTCAAAACTGGATAACCCGGAACTATTGAATTTGGGTGCATTACGCTTGTTACAAATTTTGCTTCAAATTGAGAAAAGAATTGAAATATTGAGTAACATACAGGGTGTTCCATTAAAAAACGCAATTTTAGTGTGCCGCGCCCTTATGAGCAGCACTGTATAATTAAAGTTATTACTGCCTAGTAGACTTTGAAGAACCCCAAAACATATTTCGATATCTTGTATATTTTAGACACTCACAAATGCAAGGCAATTAAATGTTCCTTTAATTATGTAGACCCATTTAGCGTTGTAATTAAAGTATTGATAATTGCAACATTTTTTGATGGCATTAAAAAAATGTCTGTGTGGAGTAAAATCAGTATTATAGCTTAGGCTGGTTTTACCCATCTGGGGTGTAAGGTCTACAAACTGGCACAGTGACGGGTGCCGCCTTACAGTCTACCTCAAATTATCTTGATCTCATACCGAGATTAAACAAAGATGTTTCTTCGTTTCGTGGAGTAGTACATCGGCAGGACTTAGCATTGTTTAAATACTTAAGTATTAAAGTATTAAATACTTAAAGTATTTAAACAATGGCAGTACCGAGTAGTACCCGGCAGTACAGTGTACTGTCAATTTCGGAAGTACGTGTGCAAAAGTTTGCCCCCTCGGCTATATCGTTATTGCTACCTTCATACACAAGAAATATCTCCAGTTATTGTCATCTTCACACCGGTTTGTTAGATAGCTATTTTCCACTATATAATAAGGGTTGTAATGTTTATTTTTAAAATTGTTGTAAATAAATTTAACAAAAAACGAATTTCACGTATAAATCACGTATGCCGTGCGAACAATTGAACATGAAAAAACAGTGTTCTAATCTTTGTGTTATAATAAACTATATTCTCGAAAACGGTGTACCATTAGATTAGAGTACATTTTAGATAAAAGTTTAGGGAAGTAGGTAACGATTATAACACACCGTCAACACAATTGAATTTATTTATTTCAAGGAAATATAACAATTTCTCACACTTGTCTGTTTGAGACAACAGCATTGTTCATTTTATTTTCACTACATTCACGTTTCATTTCACTACAAGTATCGTAATGGATGTCTGGGAAAACAAGGAAATGTTTTTCAAAATCTGATTTTGTACATTTTGGTTTGGTTTTATGACTGTTGTTTATATTCATAGTTACAAATAAAATTTGTTTTTGGTCAAAATTGGTGACAATTTGAAAAAGCAAACATATCACCCCCTATACAGGCTGTTTTTTTGGGAGCTTTTCTGGGAAAGTAAAATACGTAGGTTTTTGAAAATTTGTACTTAGGAGTTACTCTGAAGGCCGAATCGATGTAAAATATTTTCAAAATGGCCGCACTTCCGGAAACACCGGAAGTAGATAGTAACTTCGTTATTTTAAATGGCAACCCCTATTTTTTATTGCATTTTTGGATTCTACGTGAAATTTCAGTTCTTTTGATACCCATATGTCGATATCTGCCATTTATGGTTTTTAAGTTATTTTGACTTTAAGAAAAAAAATGGCGGATGCAGATGGTACCTTGATAATTGATTACTTGAAAACGGTTGTAGTCATGGCAACCCATTTTTATCAGTGCATAGAGAATGAATAGGGCTTTCTTTTAGTGTACTTAAAAAAAAGTTAAGTTGCGTACAACCGCACCTATGGAGATCCAAATTTAAGAAACTTCAAAGTCTATAAACTCAGTTTTTTTAAATGGAATGACCATGTTCTTAATATTGCATGAGATAGAGAATCGAAATTGGCATATTTTGATATTACATGTTCCTATAGCTATCTTTAACAGTTTCTGATTTATTCCCATTTCATTGAATTGATCTCGGAATTGATGCCATTTTTTTCGCATTTTCTTTTTAGTAGTTGGCCATGATTTTATAACAATCGAATTTTAAACAAATCAAGGAATGGATTCTTTAATACCATTGATTCTAGTTCTAGTCATTAATCATTAATAAATAACTCATTTATTAAGGATATAGGACGGACAATTTTTGAAAAATCTAAACAGAGTCGTTCAACTGAATTTCTTAAACAACGTATAAGTCCGGAAATTAAGAGAGGTAATGCGATATCTGTTCTAGTTCTAGCAACAATTCCATACCAAAAATGTTTCAACGAAGTTTTTTATATTTTGCATTGAATTTTGTTAATCTTGCATTTGCAATTCAATTCATTTTCTTAAATATTCTCTTGTAGAGCTTTGTATCACTTGTGCTTCAACGGTTTGTAGTGCATTAGGGGTACAACATTTCCAGATTCATACAATTTCGTTCCAGTTTTCGAATGAATGTACGGAAAGCACGCGCCGCGATTCTGCCCATTTCACCATAAATAACAAATTCCAAAATAGGTGAAACCACTGTCATTTTTCGATTTTTGAAAAAATTATGTTAACCTACAACAGTGGGTGATGGATTAGTGTCACTAGATTTGTTTAAAATTCAATTGTTATAGAATCATGGCCGACTAGGTACTAAAAAGAAAATCCGAAAAAAATAGTGTCAATTCAATAAAATGGGAATAAGTCAGAAACTATTAAAGATAGCTATAGGAACATGTATTGTCAAAATATGCCCATTTCGATTCTCTATCTCATGGAGTAGTAAGAACATGGTCATTCCATTTAAAAAAACTGAGTTTTTAGTTTTTGAAGTTTCATAAAATATTTTGAAATACTAAAGCTGCACCCTGCATATTTTAGTTAGCAATACATTTTTGGACATCGTAAATAGCACTATCGGATGTAGGAACTTTGTTGGACTAGTCGAGGGACTAGTGGGGTAAGTGGTCCGTTTGTACTCCTGCTTGGATACCCACGGTAGGCACCTATCAGGTCAGGCCAACTTGATTTTCGCCAAAAATAATGGTGTTTAATATAACCGTGACCTACGAGTTTACCTCGATAGCGTCAAGTCTGTGACTTTTATCGAGTTAGGTAACCAGGAAGCGTTACACACACGCGCACAAAAAAAATCGTACCCGGAACAACAAACACCTTGGCAGGCGCCCGTAACACGAGAATGGTATGTCAGAATAGTTACCTGCACGAAATCCTGCTTCGCGAACAGAGTACTCCAGATCTTGAAATTCAATATCTACCGGCGGCGTCTTTACGATCGTCGTTCGTTGCCTTTTTAAGGGCCTCATCTCCCTTACATTCTCGGTACTAGCACCAGCCGAATGCATACTGAACCCTCCAACGTTATTTATTTCAATTTTTTTTTTGGCAAATTAAGCGACTTGAATTTATTCTGTATGGCTTTCACTTGCGCGAATCGGATATTTACGTACTACGACTAACGACGAGAACCAAACTGCCACGGCGTAGTTTGCAAAATAACAGTTGCTTTGCTTCAACGTTCCCGAATCCCGACCACTTCACCTACCAGTGCAATTAATTAAGTACGTCAACTGTAGGTACATGACTCCTAGCATCCCACATATCTAATGTACAATTAATAACTGATAAGATACGAGTGTTTCAATAATCAAGTACTTTATTTACTTAATTATCCTATTCAAATTAAATCGTCAATGTAAATCGGTTGGCCTAACAAAGACACAGATACAAACATCTAAGTACGCATGTTGTTGTTTACCTATCTTAATTGAATCTATTGGCCTTCAAGATAATGGTTGGCCGCGTGTTTTTGCTAATTAATTGCTGGGCTGGCCGGAGTTCAAATGACTACTGTCAACAGTGTCAACGCATCATTTATTAGAAACGTCTATCTTTATGTCGTAGGCATTTACTGTAAACTCGTCATTCCACGGGAAGTAAAGTAATTCAGTCATTGGCCGGATTGCCGGCAAAGACTGCAACCGAATATATTCCTTTGCTTGACTGGAATTCTGGGTCATTACTCATTTCAAGGATTGCCTGTCAAATAGAGTAAATTGCGAAACGGTGCAAGAATTTGTTATAAAACAAAAGTCTTGTGATTGTCCATGTCCGCCAAAAAGTACAATAAATAGGTAGGTACTTTCTGACATGAAATATACCTACGCCACATTTGCCATATACGCCATTAAAAACTATAACTTACACAATTTCATCTCTTTTAGCACAGCGACCATACAGGATGATTTACTTAATTTAATTTAATTTACCTGAAACCGCCAAGAAAATTTAAATTTCAGGGCTATTTTGACATTAGAAAGTTGATCTTTACCTGACTAGTACTGTAATATTTTTGCCTGACTCCCATTACAGTCCTAGTACATGCAAAATAACAATTAGATCGTTCATTGAATAAGTTATTCAATCAACGATTGGATAATTACAATGCCGACTATGTGGATATTTTTAAATATTGATATACCTACACAAAAGATAATGGTTTTTTAATTACTAACAATTAATGGAATATGTGTGGAAGTATTTATTCCTTTAGTTTTGCGCCAGTCATTAAAAGGTTTGTACGCCTTTTCGTACCTCTTTCTTGACTTTGTGGGGAGCGAATATTGCACTACGGCTGCCGCAGCTTCGGCTACATTATAACAACGTCTCGCGTGGGTACTCTTATTCACTGATACCCTGCTTTTGTACCTAGTTATAAAGACTGTATAGTTGGAAAGTACAAAGCATAAACTGCACACTGCATTAAAAATGACACTGATTGTTTTAATTATTTTGAAATCTCTATGGAAACAATTAAATAAAGTGATTTTAGCATGCGTGATTAGGTATCAAAATTTCACACATATGAATAATTTAATTTGGAAAAGTTATCTACATGTTGCGGTTTCAGGTAAAATTTTATACATAATACGTCATGAAAGTGAGTCCACCTGACTTGGAGGCATTAAAGAGATACTCGGAGGCTGCGCGTCCCCGTACTTTTCAATAAGCCTCCGCGTCATGTAAACGGCCACTTTAATGACTTATTATGTAAATAACTATTACAAATTAGCACAAATTGCCAATAAAATAAAAATTTAAAAAATCAAATCTATTTGGTTTCTTCACCAATCCTCCAAGTCTTTACTTGTATGATTTGCGGGCTCTAACTTATCCAGACTTTCAATGGCTCGTAGGTATACAGGGTGTTTTTTTGGGAGCTTTAGTTAAAAGTTTCTGGGAAAGTAAAATAGGTAGGTTTTTGAAAAATTGTATTTAGGAGTTACTCTGAAAGCCGAATCGATGTAAAATATTGTCAAAATGGTCGCACTTCCGGAAACACCGGAAGTAGATAGTAACTTCGTTATTTTAAATGACAACCCCTATTTTTTATTGCATTTTTGGATTCTACGTGAAATTTCACTTTTATTGATACCCATATGTCGATATCTACCATTTATGGTTTTTAAGTTATTTTGACTTTAAGAAAAGAAATGGCGGATGCAGATGGTACCTTGATAATTGATTACTTGCAAACGGTTGTAGTCATGGCAACCTATTTTTATCAGTGCATAGAGAATGAATAGGGCTTTCTTTTAGTGCACTTAAAAAAAAAGTTAAGTTGCGAACGACCGCCCCTATGGATATCCAAATTTATGAAACTTCAAAGACTAAAAACTCAGTTTTTTTAAATGGAATGACCATGTTCTTACTATTCCATGAGATAGAGAATCGAAATGGGCATATTTTGACAATACATGTTCCTATAGCTATCTTTAACAGTTTCTGACTTATTCCCATTTTATTGAATTGACACTATTTTTTTCGGATTTTCTTTTTAGTAGTCGGCCATGATTCTATAACAATTTTATTGAATTTTAAACAAATCTAGTGACACTAATCCGTCACCCACTGTTATAGGTTAACATAAGTTTTTCAAAAATCGAAAAATGACTCGCAGTGGTTTCACCTATTTTGGAATTTAATTGTTATTTATGGTGAAATGGGCAGAATCGCGGCGCGTGCTTTCCGTACATTCATTCGAAAACCGGAACGAAATTGTATGAATTTTGGAAATTTTGTACCCCTAATGCACTACAAACCGTTGAAGCACAAGTGATACAAAGCTCTAGAAGAGAATATTTAAGAAAATGAATTGAATTGCAAATGCAAGATTAATAACAAAATAAATTCAATGCAAAATATAAAAAACTTCGTTGAAACATTTTTGGTATGGAATTGTTGCTAGAACAGATATCGCATTACCTCTCTTAATTTGTAGACTTATACGTTGTTTAAGAAATTCAGTTGAACGACTCTGTTTAGATTTTTCAAAAATTTTCTGTCCTATATCCTTAATAAATGAGTTATTTATTAATGAATTATTTAGACTAGAACTAGAATCAGTGGTATTAAAGAATCCATTCCTTGATTTGTTTAAAATTAGATTGTTATAAAATCATGGCCAACTACGCATCAATTCCGAGATCAATTCAATGAAATGGGAATAATTCAGAAGCTGTTAAAGATAGCTATAGGAACATGTAATATCAAAATATGCCAATTTCGATTCTCTATCTCATGCAATATTAAGAACATGGTCATTCCATTTAAAAAACTGAGTTTATAGACTTTGAAATTTCTTAAATTTGGATTTCCATAGGTGCGGTTGTACGCAACTTAACTTTTTTTTAAGTACACTAAAAGAAAGCCCTATTCATTCTCTATGCACTGATAAAAATGGGTTGTCATGACTATAACCTTTTTCAAGTAATCAATTATCAAGGTACCATCTGCATCCGCCATTTTTTTTCTTAAAGTCAAAATAACTTAAAAACCATAAACGGCAGATATCGACATATGGGTATCAAAAGAACTGAAATTCACGTAGAATCCAAAAATGCAATAAAAAATAGGGGTTGCCATTTAAAATAACGAAGTTACTATCTACTTCCGGTGTTTCCGGAAGTGCGGCCATTTTGAAAATATTTTACATAGATTCGGCCTTCAGAGTAACTCCTAAGTACAAATTTTCAAAAACCTACGTATTTTACTTTCCCAGAAACGTTTAACTAAAGCTCCCAAAAAAACACCCTGTATATTCTCTTTTTCAGACTCTTTTACCGATGACGAACTCTACTTCTAACGGGTAAATAGGTATAGGTACCTACCTACCATGATACAAAGAATACAGGTAGGTAGGTACGTTGAATTGGTCGCGATCGCGACAATTTTCCCTTAGCTGTGCGTAACTTGGCTACACCCCCATCTTTTCCTGGATATAATTCCAAAATTTACTTCATCGGAAATGTATAACGTATATACATTCGGGAACTCCTGAACGCCTGAAGTATGTACAATTGTACAAATTAACCTTATGCAATGAATGCTTATTGCAAAGTTTCACCTTTAAACCCGGCGTGATGGAATTAAACCCATTGATTAAGGCAACAATTATTAATTTTTTAATTGACTACGTTAACCCAATTTAACGATCTGAAGTCCTCAGACCGCGGATGCAACACCTTCTTTTTCTGGCGAAAGCGGCATATTATGTAAGGACACCGGGTTTTAACTGTTTTTTAAATTTTGATTTGTAGAATCCAAATCGCCCAGAAATTTGAAAATCGTACTCGTGTGTCAAAAATTATAGCGCTTTCCTTTTAACTGCAATTGGACATCAGACATCAAAAATCGAAATTGGTTATTTGCCTATAATTTTTGATTCTAAGGTCCAATCGAAAAAAATACGAGTCGTTTTGGAATCTACGAACATTTTGTGGTAGTCGATTTTTGGTGAAATGCAAAGGCTATACACTTGCCTATATTTTGGGTCGGTAAAAAAATTGTCTGAGATCGACCTGGAAAAAACATTTTATTATAGAATTTGACCCGTAGAATCCATAATTTCAACCAGTTCCAAGATTGGGCTACTAGTTCAAAAGTTACAGCCCTTTGAATTTTCTTTCGAAATTGGTTTCTAGTCTATAACTTTTGATTGAGAAGTCTGATCAAAAAAGTACGAATTGTTTTGGATTCTACGCACCAAAATTAATAAGAAAAAGTGTTTTCCCGAGAAATTTTGGTGCAGTCGCTTTTTGGAAAAAAGGAAGGTTATACACTGCCTTTTTTTCGAGGCCCTCAAAAAAAATTGTCTCAGATCGACCCGGAAAAAAATTTTTCTTATAGAATGTGGCCTGTAGAATCCATAATTTCAAACAGTTCCTAGATTGGGCTACTAGTTCAAAAGTTACAGCCCTTTGAATTTTCTTTCGAAATTGGTCTATAACTTTTGATTGAGAAGTCTGAATAAATGGCATTCAAAATGTACGGAGTCTTGCAAGATCTGTAGAGCAATTTGTAGTTTAAAGGCCCGGTTTATACAATAAGTACTAGTGCGCCATCTCCATGGCAATCGATACACTTTCTATCAATTATAGTTTTAGAAGTCTAGTTGAGATGTCGCCACGTATGCAACTTCTTTTAAAATTTCATTTGAATTTATGCGATTAATAGCAACGTTGCACTTATTATTCCTTAAATGCAGGGCCGTTCTTAAGTTTTTCGGGGCCCTGGGCCATTCGTTCGTGGACGCCCTCCTTACCCTCAATAAAAACGGCAG